CCTGTTGAGCAGAGGGAGAGACAGACGAGGGTTCTCTTTCCTTTTGTCTGTGATGAGGATGCTGGTCTCTCACTTTACTGAGGGATGAGGGTCTAGGAGGAATCGTCTGTGCCACTTAGGTACTTCCCATGCCACAACCGCTAAAGAGACGATGTATTTTTAGCCTTTGGTTTAAGTCTTCKGTGAAAGTTACTTAAGCCGTCATGGCTTAGATAATTCAGAATGCACATGCTTCCTAAGTCACTCCAAAAACGTACCTGTGCCCCGCCTGGTAGAACCAGGGCCGGCCTGCAGAGCCCTGTGCTGCAGGAGGAGGCTGCAGGCACAGGTGGTCTTGAGCACTGGAGCTGGGCAGGAAGGCAGGTGCCATGATTCTGGCTTTATGTCAGAGGCAATTGTGATGTCTACCTTGATGTGTGACATTAAAAAAAAAAAAAGGAACTAAACTGTCTTTACTCTAAATGCTGATTCTGTAGATTATGTTGTAAATTCTGTGTAGTTTTCTTCCATTTGTCTTAAGAAATTCTGATCTAGCAAGTCACTATGTGATTTCCAGGGTAAAACTTTAGGCAATAARTTGTTCTAGATGGCTTTTATTTTTTGTAGCTGAGTGGCCCTCAGATTGTTTTGATGATAGGACACACAAAAAAAGATTCATTCTGGATCGGTTCTTAGCACACACATTTTTGTATGTGTGTAACTGAAATAAGGTTTTCAAAATAGTACTTGTATTTCATGTTAAGGCATTGATATTTTTCTGTTCTTTTATACTTTATTTTTAAAAATAGGGGCTGGGGATATAGCTCTGTGGCTGAGTGTTAGCCTAGCATGCACAAGGGAATGGAACCCAGGGCCAACAACAGTAAAAAGAAAAAAATACTTTTTTGTAAACCACCTGTGGGGTTGCAGCTTACAGCTTCAAAAACAGTTCCCCACTAGGTATGGTGGCTCATGCCTGTAATCCCTGCAACTTAGGAGGCTGAGGTAGGAGGATTGCAAGTTCAAGGGCAACCCTAGCAGCATAGCAAGACCCTGTCCCAAAATAAAAAATGGGATAGGGATGTGACTCAGTGGTAAAATGCCACTGGGTTCAATCCCTGGTACAGGAGYGGGGAAAAAAAAAAAAAMCCAACACTGCCTTGATCCATAGCTGTAGTACTTCATGGGTCATTTTCCCCAAGAATTGCCCAGACTTTTTGATACCCTTTGCCTAAGGAGCCCTGCAGTGTGATTGTGGGCCACCATCCTAGCGGCTGGTACTTTTCTCCCTCCACAGCCTCCTTCCCTACTTCTTGGCTTCAGTGGGAAGTTCACACCATGCCTGGCTTGCTGCTGCTGTTGCCATGGCCTGTGCTGGAAGGAACCGGGTAATGGAGTCCTGGTGTGTGATGACGTTGGCCTTCCATCCTTCAAGCCCAGCTCTGACCCAAAGATCAGAGACTCTGTGGTCCTTCTGATGGGTGTGTKGAGAAGTTGGGTCACATGTGAGGTGTGAGGACAGATAAGCCTGGTGTCCACTTCACAGCTGGTGGCTCTGACCAGTGCTCGCTGGGGAGTCTGGGGAAGAGCCCAGGAGCTACCAGGGAACTGTGGTGCTAGTCCTGGTCCCAGGGCCTCTGGCCTTCACATACAGCGGCAGCACACCTCTGCATGACGTGGCACACCCTGCTGTCCTTCCTTCTGACTTAAGAGAATCATTGGTTTTGAAGTGGGGAGGAGTGGGCCTGAACATAGTCCATCAGTGTGTAGTGAGCAAACTCCAAGAGACACTGTTTGATTTGTGTGTGTGTTTCACTTTTTCATTAATGGAACATGGATTTTTGTTTCACCTTACGTGACACATGTCGGGAGCGCCACTGGACATGGTCATTAAATTGGAAAAGTAATCCGATGGCTCAGCAGAAGGGAACCTGTATAATTGTGTTACTATCCTGCAGTGTTTTCACCCTGGAGGACAGAATGGCAGGTAGTGGAGGCTGAAATTCAGTGTCTTACCACTTTAAAATCACCACAAGAAATGCCAGTATTCACTTCACAAGTTAATTTGTAGCTTCTTATAGTTAACATGGTGTTTGGAAACAATTTTATGATACTAACTACTAAAAATTTATCTGTTTTTTATAACATTGGTATAAAATGTCACACTCTGGTAAGTGACATCCTAAGACAGTTGTGAGGGCCTTAGATGTTGCCTCTTCAGGGCCCTAGTCAGAACCCTCTGCCTGTCATGCCATCCCTGACGGCTGACCATCACACAGAGGTGTCAGAGGTATCCCCCCCGCTGCCACGCTCCTGCACATCTTCTCATGACAAGTCCCCAGGAGAGCTCCTCATCCTCCCTCATCCCACGACAGCTCTTCTGCAGTGTTGAAGCTGTTTGTAAAACTTCACGTCGTGCCTTTAGCCTAAACACTTTATTTCCTAAACTTTCTCCAGTTTGGGCAGCAAAAGGATGTTTTGAAACCTACGCCTCTTGGCCAAACGCATCTTCCATTGACTGGTGGAATGTGGCTTTAACCCCATTCATTTTGAGCCGGCATTATTTGGGGCTTGATTCCTGTTTTATTTAAAAAATAATAATTTAATAAATAATAATTTATTTCTTAAATAAACTAATTTTATTTCCATCTTCCTTGATGTAAATAACAGCCTTCTCCTCCCTTTGGGGGGGGGGTTCCTTTATCTTTGTGTTAGAAATTGTTTTTCCCAACATGACAAGGAAACTTGATAAGGCAGGAGTAGGTTTCCCAGCCTCACAGAACCTCGGGGAATTCAGCAAACTGTTTCATTGGAGAAAAGGAGCTGGTGGAGTAGGAGACCATATACCCAGAAATCTCTGTAATGGAACCTCCTAAAGTTGCAGGAGACTGCTGTCATCCGAGTTCCCCTTCCTCACCCTTGAAAGCCAGCATTCAGGGAGAAGCCCAGGGCCAGCACTCGCCTTGCTCTCTTGCCACTCACTGAGATGCGGCAGAGTGTGGGTTAAGAGCAGCCTGGGAGCCAGCCTGTCGGGAACTTGGCAGGTCACACACCATTGAGCTTTCCTGTCTGTAAAACGGGTGAGATAATGGTGCCTGCCTCCTGGGCTGCTCYAGGATGCGCCACAGCTTTGGCACCGAGCGTTGAGTAGGGTGARCCCTCTGGCAGGGTTTGCTGCTGCACCGTCAGTGTCGGCCTCCCCTCTTTAGGTGTCTGACAGAGCTTAACTCGTGTTATCAGTTTAGAACCCAGACATCTCCCCAGTAAAGCCACATGGCACCTAGATGTTTTGTGAATTTTTGCTGAAACGCACTTCGGGGGGAAAAAAATGCACTTAGGTTCATGACTCATGAGTAGCTTTAATGATAYTGTCTTCTGATGATCAGTCACATTCTGTGACTTCCTACATCAGCAGTGACTGGAGGAGGAAGAGGAGGATTGGTGGGGTGGTGACAGTACCCGTCGGCTCATATTAGGAAGACACACAACTTAAGGCCAATAGGCAACGAATTTCCATCTCTTGTATGATGGTACTGACATTTATACCAGTTTTAAAACTATAATGAAAGCAGCCCAACGGAGGACTAACACTGGCGTGAGTCCCTGGGGAGCAAAGCTGTTGTTTTCCAGGCCTTCTGCTGACTGCTGCTCTCGGTTAAATGTAAGGAACTGATCGGCGCCTCCCTTGTAGTCCTCTGTTAGAGGAGGCCTCCCTATGGTGGGTTGTGGCAGAGAGAACTGAGAAAAGTTCTGAAAGTCTCGAGAGCTCGGGAGCTCATCTCGTTCTTCACGAGCACCCCATCAGCTCCGACTTTGATTTCTCATTATCCTTCATGCGTCGTTTAGAGCAGACAGAGATGGGCTTCCCAGTTAATCAAATTTTTTTTTTAACTATCTAAAAGGAAATTCTTAAGCCTGCAGCAAATCATTTCAAAAGATGTTGTTCATATTTACCTACTGCTCCACTAAGTGAAAGAAGAGAATGTTGTTTTCAAGTAGAGTTGGAAAGTAGTTTCTGCAAATTAGAATATTTCTGAGTAAATCAGCAGAGTGAAAGTAAGGACCCAGATTCAGAGTGAGGCAAGCTGGGCTCTCCTTTGGCTTTTCCTCAACTAGCTGTGGAATGGGTTTGATGACATGTGAGGAACTCTCCAGCTCTTATGCATTTTGAGTGTATGTTTCAGTATGCTACATATTTCTATATGAGTGGCAGGAGTCCTGTTCTGATTTGCGCCTCTGGTCATCTGAACACCAGAGGCCACTCTGTAAACCTTGTAATGTGAGACCTGGTGTGGACACAGCTGTGAGACACTCTGTAGTCCAGGCCAGAGACTCATGAACCTGAGTTCCCTGGTCACTCCCAGAGCCTGAAAGAGGTCCAACGTGTATCTCCTAATGAATTCTACCTGGGTCCCATTGTAAGTTGGGAATGAGCGATGAGAGAGGGAGGGGTTTGGCATGGTCAAAAATTATAGGACTTGATCCCCAAATTTTCAAGCAGTGTACTTACTGGATTGAAATGGCGTTCATCTTTTAGGATCTGTGGTTCATAAGATTTATTCATAACTAAGCTATGTACTCTTTCTCTAGACACTCAGCTCTCAGGAAGCCCTGGGTTTATGGTGCAGGATAAATAAATAGTTGTTAAAATGTTCCCAGCATCTCTGTACTACCTTCCTTTTAAAATGGGCCCAGCTCTACTCCCAACCGCTCAGTGGCCTTCCATGTTCATGTCCCTGAGTGCCCAGATGATTCCTTAACATCCTGTTTGGTAGTAAATGMCAACCAATGTCTCAGACAGCCGAAGACAAGATGCACAGTGTTTTCTGCTCTCGGGTCTCCTGGTGACTGCTCTCTATGCCTCACCTTGGCCCTCTGCCTTCAGTCCCCACCGCATTCAGGGTCAGGCTCTGAACCTCTGTCTCTTTTTACAATGAAACTTTTTTTTTTTTTTTAAAGAATGTTTTACTGACAGTCATTGAATAACTGGCAGCATTAACCGCTTGCTCTCTTCTTTACAGACACGAGACGACTTCCTGGGCCAGGTGGACGTGCCCCTTAATCACCTTCCGGTAAGGACAGCCACGTGTCTGTGTTGCATGCTGAGGGTAGAGGCTCCTAATTGCTTCCAGCTGGTGTGTTGTAGAGTGGCATCCCTCGCCACCACTGAGAGGCCACAGCCRCGCCCTCTTCCTGGTTAGAAGGTGGGCCCTGTGTCGGGATGGACAGAGGCTCTCTTAGTTGTAAGATCCCGTGTGTCTGAGTCACAGGAGCACTCGTGTCAGCCTCCCCAGCTCCAGCTCTTTTCTGCTCTTTAACTCCTCCACCTTTGTGCGTCACAGAAGGGACATCTCCTTATGTCAATCCCCTCTTCTTGTTACTTGCTATCTTTGCTCCCAGATCCACCCTTTGGTCTCTGCTGCTATTCATTTCCCTGAGTCTGGAAGTCTACCTGCTCTGTGTCTTAGCTGTGTTTACCCAGTTGGGCTTACAGCTTTCTTAGTCGGCATGGAGACAGAAGAGATCCTGAGCGGCCTGACCCCTGGAAACCCTGCCTTAGCGTTAGAAAGTGCACTGTGCTACCACTTGTGCGGCCACTGGCTTTCCTCTGTGCTCAGGTGGGCAAAACAGTTGAGGTTGTTGCTCTAACTGCTTTTGGGGGTGTCGCCTGCAACCCCCGAGGCAGTAGATACAGTGTGGGATCAGACCTGGTGGAGGTAGATACTCCATATTCCACTTCAGCTTTCCAGATTGTTCCATCTCCTCCTGGCCTTCTTTCCCTGGGCAGCACAAAATAACATAAGTAGGAGCTGTGAGAAGAGAGTCGAATATTTCTGCCTTACAAGGGTGCTGTGTTTTCTCAGGGCTTTGAGTGCGTAGCATAAATCGTCCATAAACTATAATGACTTAAACCACCTAGCGCAAGCCGCCCGCTGTGTGCAGACTGGGGCCATTCCTGTACGTTAAATGCCAAGGCCGGATCTTCCTGAGGAAGCTGTGAGGAGATGTTGGGAAGGAATGTGCTAGCAAGCAGTTGACTCTTGCTCACTCACGGAACCTATTATGGGAGAAAGGGTTCAAATGCATTCCCTCCCCGAGGACAGGAGCAGAAGTGATAGCATTGCAATATTTTTTGTTTTTACTTAAAAACCTGAAGCTCCAAGGTGCCTCAGGAAGGGGGGTGTGTGAGAGAGGGGAGCGGGGAGGTTTCTCCATGAGACTAATTCCTAAGTCATCAAAAGTATGTATATATATTATTTTCATTGGTTCACATTGAGAGGATATGAATCTCTCGTGTGTTGTGAGGAACTCTGCATTCCTGCATCACTAGGTTTCTACTCACACTCTTCAGATGAAGCTATAATCTTGTCATGATTTTAAACAGTGGTGTTTGGTTGGTTCTTTGGGTGCCCCCAAGTGCCCTTTCCCTAAAGTAACAAACCACACCCTGGCTAAGATGCTTATAAGAGGCATAAGTTAAATATTTAACCATGTGCCATTAAGCCCTGTTTGAGTGATTTGCTGGTGGTTGGTTTTGAAAGGTTGGGCCATAGCTTCCAGAGAACAGAAGAATGTTTCTCTTCAAGAGACCAAGTCGGCAAAGGGAATAGACTTCACCTTGGGATTTCGAATGGTGGGTCTCCCCTGATGTTCATTTCCCTGAGTCTCTGCATTGCCCACGTGCTGTGTGTCTTAGCTAGTGTTGACCCCGTTGGAGGCTTATAGCTTTCTTAGTGTGAGCTTTCAAAGAAGAAAGCCGTGTGAGGCTCAGGGGAGAATTGATACCAGATTAAAGAGGGTGGGACCGTGAGCCCCTGGAGTGGATGTGTACTCCAACATGAGCTATGTGGATGGAATGACGGATCCTCCCAGTTACGCATGTGCCCGAAGAGCAGCCTGCAGCCGACCTCCATCCTCCCCATACTCCAGGGTGACTAGCTTTTTGAGCCAACTCCATTCAGGGGAATGAACCACAAAGACCACAAGAGAGGACTCGGGTTATGTTCTTTATCTTCCTTCTGGTCATGGATCCCAAGTAGCATATTCTGAAAGGGCATGGCTTCTGGTCCCAGGATTTGAGGTGCTTTCCTGTACGTATTTGATCATAYGTGAAGCATACTTAGGGAAAAATTGCAGAGTGTCATTAATTGAATCTGATAATGCTCGGGTGTGAGTGTGTAACATGGAAACTAGCATTGGAGTCTGTTTTAGGAATGAATAATGTCTGCTCTCTTCTTGGTGGCTCCATAAGCATTGTCAAAAAAGATCATCTGTGACCCATAGACTCAATATTTGTCAGAAGGACCAAGGTTTGGATAAAAGAAAATATCAATCTAAAAAAGTGCTCCAGCTGTCTTATCAGTCCAGAAGGAAGCTATTGGAAACAAGGACATGGTGGTCCAGTGGCCCCTGCCAACTCACCCAAGCCTTTTTCAGGGAGTAAGGAACCTGGGTGTAGGACTGTTGATTGATTTGATATGCCCTCCCACTCTCTGCTGGAGAATTCATTCCTTCAACAAATATCCATGTATAGATAGGACATCGTTTTTAAAGATGGTTCAGTGAAACAAGTTCCTCATTGGTGTGGCCAGGTGCCTCCATTACAGGAGCCACACCTGCGAGTTCAGCATTGGAAATGTGGCTGTGCCTGGGAGCTGAATTTATAATTCTACTTCATTGTAATCAAGATTTAAGCTTCAGGAGCCATACGTAGCAAGTGGGCTGCCACATGGAATGGCACATGGGAAAATCAAACCCAAGATCCCTGACTTGGGTCAAAAAGTGCCTGATTCTAGATTCTTCTTTCCTCAGATAAGAGTTCTCACTACCGGGGCACCACAGGTGGGAGTTTTCATTTCTTTTCCCTCACCTGAGGCTGTCTCTCTCCAATTCTACATGTGTACCATACTAAATATATTTAACTTAGATAAGGAAGGGCTTTGCATTTTGGATGTTTTCCAAATCTATTACTGCCCGTTCCTTCATGCTGACGTGTTATTCACTTATTTATTTTAAGGCATTTCAAGCCTGGAATGAGGCCTTGTCTTGTTGCCCAAGAAATTATAAGCCCTTCTCTTTTTTGAGGGGGAAGGGGGTGCCAGGGATTGAACTCGGGGGCACTCAACCACTGAGCCATACCCCAGCCCTATTTTGTATTTTATTTAGAGGGTTTCACTGAGTTGCTTAGCGCCTGTCTGCTGAGGCTGGCTTTGAAGTTGTGATCCTCCTGCCCCAGCCTCCCAAGCTGCTTGTCTCTGCCTTGCTTGCTTCTTTCTGCTTGCAGATGTTGCCAGCCCTCACTGACACCCCTCATCTAAACCAGGAAAGGGATGAGCAAGGGTTGAGACGGGAAAGTGGATTTGGGGTAGACTCTCATGATTGTTAGGAAATTGTTTTTGATAATTTGAGTATTCTGTTTTATGTTTTGAGTGTGATTTGGAAAAGGACATCTTGGAGGCCACATAACTGATGGTTGCTGACGAACTCTTCCTTGTTAACTCCAGAGGCCTGTCGCTGTGGTTGCCAGAGGATATTGGTGTTTACAATGTAAAAGCTCACTTTCAGATTCTGAGGCTTGGCTCTTCCAGTGTCCCCATTTGCAGTCATGAATTTCCTGTCCTAGAAATGCCTCCCAGGCAGAGTAGAGGGTTTGCTTAGCCTCCCTTGCTGGGCTCACCTAACAGCAGCTCCTGGGTGGAGGCCTACAGGCGAACAGGCTCTTCAGCATTGTGGAGCTGACCCACGTACTCCTCCACAGCCCACTGCCAGGAGCTGGGTACCTGGGTTAATTAAGTGTCCTGTTGGGCCTGTGAGCCATTGGTGCAAGTCCAAGTTGCCACTCTGCCAGAAGACAGGGAGGAGGGAGCTGGGAACCAAGAGGTGGGCAGGGAGGTAGTGGAAGCCTGGGTTCCACATGGTAGAAACACAGTGCCTCAGTTCTCAGCTGCCTTTTCCCCCTCCGATCATGGATTCCCCCATGCTTGGTTCTTACCAGGTACTTTCAGATGCAGAAAGAAAATTTTGGAATTGTGGTTCACTTTCATGTGTGGTTGTGAGGCTCAATCCTCCTGTTTTATTTGTGGGAAAAGTAGATAGGAAATAGGATTCACCTCTGTTTCCCTCGCTTTATTTCAGATTAACTGCTCATCTTTAATACCTCTTTTCCGTTTTATTTCATATCGAGGCGAGGAGTAAAAGAAGGGGGAGCCAGGGGAGGGCAAATAGGATTGGTAGGCTGACCCTTTATGTAGGTCAGAGAATTAAGGAAACCTGAAGACTTACTCTAAGAAGTCTCCAAAGGTCAGGTTTAGAAGAGGGCTCTGCAGGCTTTATTGACTGCTATGTGGGAGATAGGTGAGTTGCCTATTAACCTTAACCAAGATAGTATGTCTTCCTAGAATGAGGGTGCTTTCCGTAGAACGAGGGTGCATGCACAGATGAGACTGTTTCCAGCTCTGTGACAGAGCCCCAGAGCTGGTCCAGTGCTCCTAAGCAGGGCCTGGGATGACATGCGTGTTACCTAGGAGATGCTGGCAGCAGCAGAAATGGAAGGCTGTGCCTGCAGGTCCTTTCGCCTGCAGCTTAAACGCAGTATCTCTTGTTTCCTACCCTGGGCACCCGAGCAAACCTAGATAGCTGTAACTGTACATATTTGTTGATTGTTTTAAACTGCGCTTTCACATTTGTTTGCTAAATTCAGTGCATAATTACTTAAAAGTTCATAGAGTATTTGATTAGTCGTATCTACCAATTATTTAGGGATAAAAATAACTCTGGGGCTTGTATTAACAACAGAATGAAATTCTGATGGGGTTTTCTCACCGTGCTTCTGAGCTTTTCCTTCTTCTTGCTCAGTTGTAGCTCCCTTGCCTTTAGAGACCCCAGCCCTSCCACCTCTGCCCAGCCAAAAACCCCACCTCTGTGGGCAGTGCCCGGGGGCAGAGTGCTCTGGTTAGAATGTTCCCGTCTCCCACCTCAGTCAAGTGCTGCTTGGTGCAGCTATGGCTAACTTCTGACCTTTAGCTCTTCCCAAAGTAAAAAGCATTTTCAGGGTGCTGCCCTAGCTGCTGTTTAGTACTTGAGGGTAGCCAAGGTGGTCAACATTCTTTCACCCCTTTTCTATTTACAGCTCGTGGCAACTGATCCTTCTCTTGTGTGCAGAATCCAGTGTCATGGAATGTGGAGGGAGTTGAAGGGTATTTATGTATTCCCAAGTATATTTTCCAGATGAGGAAACTTAAGACCAGGGAGAGAGATTACCTGTCCAACAATTGGCAGGTTGTTCATAGTGCTGGACCCCACCCCAGGATCAGTGTGCCTAGGCACAGTCAAGGGTGTGGGGGACAGGAGTAGCCTGAAGCTTGGGAGCTTCTGGTGGTTGCAGGCAGATTTTGAGTTTGAAGACCTAGGAGACCCTCCCCCTGTCCATTTGCCTGCAAAAATAATTTCTCTCACCATGTGTCATAGTGACTGTACTTTTTGCTAAAGCAGCTGTCCTCTTTAGGATGACAGCAGGGTATATTCTTCTGAATTTGCATCTATTTGTGATGGCTTCTCACTAGGAGCATCCTTGGTACCCTCCTGGGATCCCCGCCTGGCTTCTCTCCAGGGAGCATGAGCAGGTTGTGACCTGGATAAATGCATGTAGTTATCTACATGGTTACCATCCTGTTCAGGCTGGAGAATTTCCATGAAGGTGAATTTTCATCTTTAGTGCCCTGCCTCTTGTTGCCCAGCATTGAGTTGGCAATACTCCTGTGACATGAAAATGTAGAATTGACTCATGGCAACAATAGCCAAGCTTGTTAGGTGTGGTAGGCACCTTAGGACTGTGGTAAGCCACTACAACTAACCGACTTAACCTTCCCAACAACTCTCTTAAGATCCAGTCACTGATTCATTTTGTAGATGAGGACATTGGAGCACAGAGAGGTAAGGACCCTCTGGGCMACACAAAGCCAGGGCACAGACCGCTCGATCTGTGAGGTGCTGGTGTTTGAACTACATGGTGTGTGCACAGGTTCACTTCCGAGTCTGCTGAGTGCTGCTCTTCCCCGCTCACTCCCTTGCTCTCTCCTCTATTCCCGGGTCCTTGTGCTAAGATCCTGTAAGCTGTGCTCATGCTGTGGGTCCCCCAAGGTTGTGCTGTTCTTCCTCCCACTTCTCCACCTGCCACAACCTGCCCACTCACCCCAAAACCATTTCCATTTCCAAGTCAGAGCCAGTCTTTTCCCTCCACCCTAAGTCTTAGAGATTGTAGCGGCCCCATGTCAGTGGATGTGTGGAGCCACAGAGCCCCGTGCACTGTGACGGCCCCGCCCATGCAGCTGAACCCCCAGGCCAGGACTGTGTCATAGCCACCCGTCACTGCTCTAGAAGTGTTTGTTGCTTGAATAAATGAAAAAATGAAGGAATGCCAGCAGTAGAATTCTTGATTACTGAATGTTCCATTATGGGTAATGTATGTTTAACTTTTTTTTTTTTTTTGGTAGAAAATGTTCCCAAAATGTCTGATTTCGATTTACTATCTTAACTAAGAACAGACTAGAGAATATAATTGACTTTGTTCAATGATACACTAGAATTTCAGGGCCTCAGTAGTTTTGATAGAGCAAATGGACTTATATCTCTGCCTGCTGAGCGCCAAGCAATGCTCTTGGCACCAGCAATCCAGGGTGAGCACATTCAAGTCTCTGATCTCATGGGCTTACGTCCTAGAAGAGATGGATGATAAACTCGTCAATAAACAAGAGTACAGGATAATTTCAGATAGCGATAGGGGAAGATAAAGGAGAGCGGAACAATAGAGGAAGACGAGGTAGGCTCCATGGTGACAGTTTTAAGATGAGGGCTCTGGGGGTGAGGTGGCAGATGGAGACAGCCAGGCCATCTGGAGTCAGCTGTCCAGCAGAAAGACCTGCCAGGGGCTGGGTCCTACTACAGCAGGATTAGATGTGATTGGCACAGATGACAGATGAGGCCAGGGTGGTTGGAGTATGAGGAGTGGTCAGGAAGACTGGTTCATAATGAGGATAAAGGTAATTAAAAACCCAGTCATATACCTTGTAGGTCATAGGAAGGAATTTTAATTTTATTACGAGACAAATAGGAAGCTATTGAGAGGTTAAAGCAAGGAATGACGTCAGCTGATACCATTTCAAATATAATAGTTTGCACATACACATCCTTTGTATACTAAATCATTGTACTCTGGTTTGTCTCTTGCTATAAAAGTAAGTATTTTAAATTGCATATAATTGAARGGTCTAGATATTTGAGGTTTTACAAGTGTAGTATTTTTTTAAAAAATAAGTAGCAGGGCTAGGGCTGTATCTCAGTGGCAGAGCGCTTGCCTAGCACGTGTAAGGCACTGGGTTCAATCCTCAGCACCACATAAAATAAACAAAGGTGTTGTGTCCATCTACAACTAGAAATGTATTTTAAAATCCTTTAAAATAATAGTAACACTTATGTTTCCCAATGTCCTGCTTCGTTAGGACAGACAACTTCGTACAATAAAGTGAATACTGATTTCTTTTCATATGAATAGATTTCATCTCGTTTTAAAGCTCCTAGCTTTGAAAAGTAAGTCCCAGGAGAGGATCAGTTGGTAGCACTCCTTGGTCTCTGTGCTGGAGATAAATCTGTCAATTCTCTTAGACTAATGACATGATGTTTTAATGCAAGAAATAAAGTTGCCTTCAAAAATTAGGTCTTGAGGCCTCTACATTTAGATTTCTTGAGTCACAAGGGAAAATAAGACACCAGTGACCCTTGGTTCTCTGAAGCTGATCGACTCCCTGAGATTGTGGCCGCACCCTGCAGTTAGAAATTACACTTGGCAGCAATGGCTATAATTTTGTCATTTGTCTGTGGCAGGGGTTGGCTCCTAAAACCCGATGTGGATAGTGACATCTAGTGGATCTTAAGTAGACAAAACCTCGTGTCCTATCAAATGCTTAATCAATCATCTAGTACCAGTGGAGGAACCAGCTTCCTTTCACCTTGGCCATGTTCTAAAGTATGAAAACGTATTCTCTAGAACCCAGATTTCTGTCTCCAAAACACAAAACTGTCAGGAGCATGGAAGCCTAACTTACTTTTTCTTTTCATAGACAGAAGATCCAACCATGGAGCGACCCTATACATTTAAGGATTTTCTTCTCCGCCCAAGAAGGTGAGACTTGGGGTGGACGTGGCGGGGTGCTGTCCTGCTGGCTTCAGGCACTGGTTTCTTGGGGGGACAATTTCAGCAGTCCCTGTAAGCAGGAAGGATGTAAGCAAGCCATATCCTTTATGACCAATTTTCTCCCTTTACGCAGTCATAAATCTCGAGTGAAGGGTTTTTTGCGGCTGAAAATGGCCTACATGCCGAAGAACGGAGGTCAAGATGACGAGAACAGTGAGCAGACGGACGACATGGAGGTATGCACGGAGCCGCAGGCCCTGGCCTGCCTTCCTGGCTCAGTGCCCTGACATTCCACTGCGAGGCTTTGTCATTGAAAGAGGAGAGAAGTTTATAAAGTTAAATATGAGAACACTTAATGTCCCCAGATACATTTTTGGTGGTCTACCAGTGTATTTTAGTAAAGTTGAGCTTTTTTTCTCCTATGACACTAACTGGACAGTGGGCCCTTAGACGGTGTGGAATACTCTGTGGACAGCCCTCTGCCCCAAGACTCCCCTCACTCGCCAGGGCGGCTGTTGCTTTGGGCTCTCAGCTCTCCCTAAATTCTTTGTTGTACCTGAAGCTGCCTCAGAGGGGGGCTAAGGTGATTCGGAAAGTCTCTCTCCATTTCTTATTCATTTGACCCACAGGTGATAGATAGCCTGCATTAGAAGAGCTCTCCTCTGGAAATACCATTTTGAAATTAGTTGTCCAGARCAATTTACTTTTTTGCCCTCCTGGCATCGTGGCCTCTCGGCTTTCTGGTCACATACCTGTGCCAGGGGTCCCCTTGTACCTTCTCTTCACACGCCTCAGACAGTGCTGTTTGCTTGGACACACTCTCATTGTTCTGCAAGTGCCCGTTGAACAGGCCTCTCGGAGGCTGTCTCCACATCTGTTTGCAGCTGTCACGTATACACGATACGTGAGTAATGTGTTGTGGGCAAGCTGACAACCCCCCCACCAGTACCAAGCCGTGTTCGCAGGTGGCGCTGGCTGCTGGCTTCGCAGCTCCCACACGTGGAGAGGACTGCAGTGGGTGGCAGGCCACGGTGGAGGCTGATGTTTCGTCAGCGCAGCAACAGATTTTTATTTCAAATCCAAGGAATTTTTTTTACACTCTTCTTGCCTTCCAACTGCAGTAACCAGTGAATTACTTAATTTTCCAGTGACTTTACTCGGGGATGTTAGGAAAGCAATACTTAATGCCTAAAGTATGCGTGGTGAAAATGTCACTCTCACCCTGGTACCACGAAGCCTGTTTGTGTGCAGAGCCTGAGGAGGCTGCAGCAGCCGCTTCTAGACTTCTTCTGGCTCCTGGGATTAGAGCTGACCAGGGCAGGGGCTTCCCCCCCTCTCCATGCTGGCCTCGGGGCCATCCGCCAGGGGCCATCAGAGCCCTGGGCTTTCCCATCCCCCGGGGCATGCTTTCTGTTGGAACGTTTGGGTTTATGGCTCACCTTTACCCTCAGGAGGTGTCCAGTGAATGTCAGCTGTACCATGGCCCACGGTCACTGGCTTCCTACAGCCCTGTTCTTCAGGTCAGAATAACAAACGGGAAACATGACAGGGGTCTAATGTGACTTAAGTGACTTCCCAGACTGCGTATCCCAACCTGTGTGGCTCCCTGCAGTGGCGTCCTCTTGGCAGGCAGCATGAGTCGGACCACTGCTCAAAAGATTTGGAGATTTACATTTATTTTTTTTTTAATTTTTTACTTTTTTGAAATTCATCCAAATGTGACACACGAAGCCATTGCAAGAACCAGGGCATGGCAGAGCAAGGCAGGAGGTCACAGAACACTGGCTCTTCCCCACCATCTGAAGAAATAACCTCATCATCTTCATTGAATTTTGTTCCACAGCATGGGTGGGAAGTTGTTGACTCCAACGACTCGGCTTCCCAGCACCAGGAGGAGCTTCCCCCTCCCCCTTTGCCCCCAGGGTGGGAAGAGAAGGTGGACAACCTGGGACGCACTTACTATGTCAATCACAACAACCGGACCACGCAGTGGCACCGCCCCAGCCTAATGTGAGTACCACACAGGGTGGGGGCACCCGGTCACCCCTGCAGATTAGGTGTGAATAGGGTGACTCTGGGACAAGGCTGGGAAATAAACCATGTGTCAGTTGAGCAAGCGGCTCCTCACTGAGGTGGGGACTTGAGAGCCAGCGAACGTGGGTCAGGAGGGAAGACGCTGTCACCTGATGTCTTGCGCTGCAGTTTCAGTATGAGCTGGTTTGCTTCGCACGTATTCTTTACATGGAATCCTGACATCTGTTTTTCCAGGAGTTATTGTATGTTTAATGATCGTATTGCTTCCCTCTCCTTTAGCAGACTCTCCTGACTGACCCAGAATAGAAAACAAGCAAACAGGCTTTGCAGTTTTCCATTTTCCTTTGAATTTGTTGATTTTTATTTCTTTAAATTATTTGATTTGGAAACCCTCTGAAAAGCTTTTTTTTTCCATTTTGGGAAATGTATATATTATCCCCTTTATATGATTAGAAATACATTAGAGATTTGGAAAGTCAGAATTAATAATTATTATTTATTCTAATCATTCACCAGCTTCAGGGATGCAGTGAGCCAGTTGATGTTTTATTCCCTCAACGTTTTTTTTTTTTTTCCACAAAAGCAAATGAATCCTAGTTAAACCTCAACTACTATAAAAGGTTTTGAAGCAGGTTGTTGTTAAATGATAATGCACAGCAAGATGTAAATCTAGTGGTACGTAAGAAAGAGCAAAACCAAAGTACTAAGGAAAAGAAAAATTATTCTAGAACTTACGAGCTTCCTAGCAATCAAGACGAGTGGGTAGTTATCAATTATTGTATAATTCTCAATATGCAATGAAGGCAGGAATACTAGCTGAGAACATTTTCTCTTCAATCCATATTCTGAAAGAAATTTGCTAGTGATACTTTTTAGATAGGTGGTGTTAGTGGTATACTGAGAAGTGTTCTTATAAACCTTTCTGAGAGAGCGCAGAGATACTCTGCATGTGACTAAAGTGGAGAAGGTGACCAATTTGGCCAGTTTAGGTTTCACTTAATTTGGGAGTAAAGCTTACAGAATCCGGAGCAATGAATACCTGATCCTACCTGAGCCTCCAAGTGGGTTCTCATGAGTATCATTTGTCCTTGGTCACTTTGGACTGCCCATTAGCTCATTGTTCCCAGAACAGCATAACTATCAAGACATTGGGGTAATGCTGAACTCTTCTTGGCTATCTTTTTTTTTCCCATAGAAATACAAATGAACATGATTTAGTTGATACTATTTATTTGCTCATAATTTTATTTATTCCCATATTCCCTTTCATTAAAAATCTTAGCTATTAAAAGTATGATAAGTCAATTGGCTATTTTAGGTGTTTGTAGTAAAATTGACTATGGACCCCTCTTGGGCTTGGCTGCGTCTAGTGATGGGAAGTAGTAACTCTACCCTAATGAAGCACCTTCCTCCACCTGCCCCAGACAGCACAAGAAAGCAGAACCTAAAAAGGTGGCATTGCTAAGATGGCCAGAGTATCACGTGACCTTTGTGGAAGAGGGACCAATAACAATAAAGGGACCAGATCACAAAGGAAGAAGGAGAAGTAGCTAACAGATAGATGGAAAGGTCTTGAGATTTGTTCATCGGTACCTTGCCGATTGAAGTCTGCAGTTTTGAGATAAAYGGGGACACTTGCTACTTTCTTGACCTCACAGAATTGTGAAGCTCTAATGAGGGAATTCCTGAGAAGACACTTTGGAGTGTTTTCTCTGCATTCCATCTCCAAACTCCTCACCACGTGTCCATTAAATAAGTACAGATTCTGTGTGTCAGTTGTACCTCAGTAACTTGGTTAAAAACGGTACCACCTTTGAGGACAGTGTGTCCCAGAGAACCCAAGCAAACCAGAGGGTGCACCTCACGTAATGCTGGCTCGTCACTAAGCCAGAAGCAGCGAGGGGAAATGCAGTTCTTGGCATGAGTTCAGGTTCCAGCCTGGTTTCAGGAGAAACTGGGACATGGCTGTCCCTGTCAGTGAGGCATCAGTACCAGAGGGAGGGGCTGAGTCAGGGAGGACATCGGCAGAACTTGGTGGAACACAAGGGTGCCTTCCTTTCCAGATGGCTCGGCTTCTAGAAAGCAAGACAAAAGTCAGGGGGATGTCAGTCTCCTTGACAGAGACCTTTCATCTCTTCTGCACTTTTATGGATTGGGGTTCTTTTCCCTCAATTTTGTTAGATCCGATCAAAAGAACTTGGACCCCCCCAGAATTATCTTTGAGAATTGATTTGGTTCAAAAATAACCCAGTTTTCACAGAATGCTGCATCACCATCAGAGGGACATGGCTGCTGTTAGGAAGTATCCTAGTCAAGAGGTCAGACAGTGATTGTTTGTGCCAAGCCAAGTGGTGACCACCTCAGTGATCAGTGTTGCCCACCTGCTACAAGCCCCCTGAGAACAGGTTTGAGTTCTGTCATCGACTCCCTGCTGCCCTTGGGACATTCCCACGGGGTTCTTCATCGCCCTGCTCTCTCGCCACCCGCAGACACAGACCTGGTTCTTTCAGTGGCCTGTGACCGTTGCCTTCTCTTATTTTGGGTCCTGTGGGTAGAAGCCCATCCCCCCAAACTAAAGCAAGAACCAAGAGTCTGGGGCATGCCCTTCCTGGGCCACTGCACGGTCTCAGCYGACCGGCCTTCCAGGTCCTCAGAAGCCTTGTGCTGCTCTCCTCCTGGGCGGCAGCAAAATACGTTCTCCATGGGCCACTGTCCAACAGGGGCCACTTCTGGAAGTGAGTGGAGGTGCAGTCACTGCTTCGGGTCATCCCTGCAGTCACTACTGTACCATGGATGAAGTGATCTGACACACTCATCTGTGGTTGGCCCTAAGCTTGATTTCAAGGCAGGTGGACCCATGCTCTCTCTTGCCATGTTCCCCCAAAGTCAGTGAAGAATGTGTATGAAAAGCAATGACCCAAGGAAGACTGAAGTAGCCTCCTCTTCTTTTCTTTCCCCCAGGAAAGTCATTTTTCCATTTTCCCTTTTGTCCCAGTTATGGAACCTACATAAACTTAGAGCAACAAATATGGACCTATTTTAATACATCTGTGTCACTGAAATATTTGCAGAACTGAAAACTTGGGACTTAAGTGGTTAATTTCTCAGAAATAATCGTCAGTGGTCCTGCGCTCTCAACTTCTAGTCTCGGTTTCGCCAGCCCCTCGCTCACTCGCTTAATTAAATGCAGCGGCCTCCCACGTGTGAACATTTCCCCATTACTACTTAAGACCATGAAAGCCCCTGGGTGGAATTTCAAATTCAGAGTTATCTTGTTWCTTTTGCTGTTTAATTATTTCTACTTCACACTGATTACTGATTATTTGAGCTCGTTGGATAAGGAAAATTGACATAATTGATTGTAAATGCATCTCTTTTTAAAAAAAAAAAAATCTGGCACAGTAGATTTTCATATATTTCTGAAGGAAGAAAGATACAGACATAGTAACATTAAATCTTTATTCTTCTCCACCTCTCTAACTCCCTGTAAGAGCCCAGCATGCACAACGCACCTTGTTTAGGGACAGACACTTAGCAGCATGAACAGGTTACACCCTTGGTGTGACTGCAACTGGCATTTCAAGGAAGATTTAAAATTTTGATAAAACTCTTGGATATGAAATATTTTCAAGTGATGCTGCTTGTCCTAAAGAGAAATTGCTTACATCCTCAAAAAGTGAAAGAGGATGTGTACTGTCCCTTTGCCTTACTACTGAAATTGTTCATACACTTTATGAATGTATTCTGATCATTTTCCTTCCAAATTTTTCTGTTGTCTATTGATTGTATTTCAGCCACTGTGTGTTTAAAAATTGGATGTCATCTAAAAATGACAACTACATAAAATCACACTACAGCGTTGTTTGCTAATGTAGCCAAGTGTCATTTTTCATAATTCCGTTTTCATGCTTTCAGAAGTTTATTAATATACTTTTACATACTTTGACTTTAATAATTCCCTCTATGATCATAATGTTTTCTGAATATCTCTATGAAGTGTACTGTTTTACTCTAGTTATATGTAATATAACTGTACAATGGACAAAGAAGGTATTTAGTTAAGAGTACCAAACATTTGTGTATTGGGCATACAAATACAATAAAATATTAATCCAGACACTAATGATAAGGAATTATGATTTAAATGTAGATTAAATAGAAGCACACTAACCTGCACACTTGCCCCTTGACCAGGAAAACTAATAGTGTAAAGATGTCTGTTGGAAATGCTCAGCTGTTGAGGAAGTCCGTGTTGAAAAGTCATCCACTTACTTGCCAACAGCTGCTAATTGCAGACTAGTCACTATCTCGGGGGCTCAGCAGGCACCTTTTGGGATATAGTATAAATTAGTTTGAGACTGTACTAGAAACTTTAAAACCTTTGTTTTAGAAAGAATCTATAATTGGGCTCTTAATATTATATTTCATTTAATCTGTAATATCAACTTGCAACATAATTTTTGTTAATGTAATATCAAATCTTATTGAAAGTGTGCCAAGAGTTTCCTCTGAAAAGCATTTTAGAATTTAAATTTCTACCCTGAAAGCCTCTGAGGAGTTTTTCTCCCCAAAGGACCGATACCTGTAATATGCGGCAAAAATGTTTTCAAGATTACATCAGTGTATTCAAATCTTGAACTGGGAACCTTATGTGACCCCTCCCACTATCCCCAAAAAAGATGTTTTAGTATTCTTTAAATCCCAGTGGACTTGGGAAGTTGGTTCCTGGTGTTTATTCAGATTTTTGAAGTAGGTTGGAAGGATGCAAGATGTGGTGTTAGGACTCTTGAGATTTTGTCAGAATAAGATAGAAAGCAGCTGCTGGGTCAGCAGTTCTTTTGTCCAGTTGCAGCCATGAGTTTATGCTGTCAGTTATCTTGGGTCAATTGCTGATGACCGAAGTAGCTGCTTTGTCATTGCTAGACTCCTTGAAGATTTTATTCCGATGAGCTGCATGTGTGAGCTTGCCTCTCACCTCCTTGCAGATGCCTCGTGTGCCTCATGGGTTGGGGGACTTTGATTCCTGTTCTTAAATACTAAAGTACATTTTGAGGTATCATCAGTGCTGTCTTGATGGTTTCCCCAGATGAAAATTAYGTGGAAAAAAACACCATGCCTGTACTTTTTTTTCTTATTGTCATTCCTTAAACAAGGAGGATAACCTCTATTTTCATGGCATTTACATTGTATTAGGTATTATAAATAATCTAGCAATATAACARTGTGTGGGAGCCCATGGTGTGTTTTAAGCAAGTACTGTGCCATTTTCTATGAGAGGCTTGAGCATTTGTGACTTTGGTTTCCTTGGGAAGGGGAGGGGATCCTGGAACCAGTCCCTCATGGATACCAAGGGATGACTGTATGTATCTGAAAGATGCCCTAAAAATTGTGACCGCTACACTACAGACAGCATGCACTTGATTGGAAGGGATCTTGCCCTGCTTTCTCCCCAAGATAAGATGGAAGAGTTCTCTGGCGAGCAGCCGTGGTSAGTGGGTGTCACTGGTGTCCTGGCGTGCTGCCCTTAAGTTAGACTGTCGGAGGGCTGTTCTAAATACCACTCCCCTTCTTGCACCCCCACTCCACTCTTAGGGACGTGTCCTCGGAGTCGGACAATAACATCAGGCAGATCAACCAGGAGGCTGCACACCGACGCTTCCGCTCTCGGAGGCACATCAGCGAGGATTTGGAGCCCGAGGCCTCGGAAGGCGGAGAGACCCCTGAGGTAGGAGGACCTGTCGTGATGCCTCCTCAGTGACTCTTGTCTGGGATGTAAAGATGATTCGCACCGCGAATGGGTTGCCATCTGGTGTTGATTAATTTAGCAAGTGCTTGTAAAAGCCGTGTTTGACAAGCACATGTGACTCTGTATCATCACAAAAGGGAATAACATTTCTAGTATGAAAATCTGAAGATATTTTCACTTGGTAATTTGTTTTTCCCCCAGAGTCTAACCATATCTTATTAAATGACATCAGGTAATCATGTTTGAACCGTTGAACAAGCCCTATTACTTGTTCACGACTCACAAGTTTTTACTGAGTCGTTTTGACATCTTGAAAGAGATTTATGACCAAAAAAAAAAATACAAATTTGGGTCAATAGAAATGTTTATAATCTTCTCTTTTAATGGTTGTAGTGCGTCAAACAATAATCTTGACTTCCATGCTGTCTTAACAGCTCTGTTCCCTTGCTAGAAATGTATTCCTTTTAGACATTGAATTGGAAAGAAGACCATTCACAAACTGTTGCAGTGATCACAATTAGAAAAGCAAATTAATGATTTTAAAATAAATCCACTAGAAGTTGCTTTATTCCAGTGTTTAATTACAGCTTGTCGGATCTGTGCTGTTTTCATTATGAATCCTCAGCAGTTAGAGTAAAAGAAACCCATGGAAATCATTGGTGCACTCCTGAGAAGATTGTTATAGCCCAAGTACATTTAACAAAGGCTGTCAAGAAGCTGCAGCTCAGAGTGCTGGCTGGTGCCCTAGAGGTGTGCAAGCACTGCCCCTGCACCAGGCATCCTGGTCACATCTTGGTGGCCATGCCACTCACTAGCTCTTATACCTCAAGAGAGTTACTGTCCATGCCTCAATTTGCTCATCTGTTAATTGGGACAGGAGTCATTTCTTCCTCATAATGATCATGAAGTTTGTGTGCCTCGTGTTAAATGTTGACCACATGTTAATTATAGCTATCCCCCTGGTTAGTGTGTGTTTTCATTGAGGACAGGACAATCCCCAGTTCTTAGCATTTACCCCAGTGTCTCATTCCTTGAAAGCCTTGGGAGACCATTTCAGAAGAAGTGAACATGGCTGGAGACTCGCTTGGCCTGGCTCTGCCCCCACCGCCCTCCTCCCCAGTGTCTCGAACCAGCCCTCAGGAGCTGTCAGAGGAACTGAGCAGAAGGCTTCAGATCACTCCAGACTCCAATGGGGAACAGTTCAGTTCTCTGATTGTAAGTAGAGGTCTTGAGCAATATTCTTCATTGTTGCTTCAGGAGAATCTTGTATGTAAATGACACCAAGGGTCTTCCAACTTCCAGTTATCTCTGACATTTTCCAAAGTTTCTTCTTCCCCAGAAGCAAGATTATATTAAAATTAGCCCAGGCAGGTGAGAATCTTTTTTGATTTGGAGAACAGCTATGCATCACCAGCTCTTTTTCTTGATTTGTTAAAAAAAAAAAAAAAAAAGGTTAAGGTTCCATGAATTCTGTAATTACCAGCTGAAACTGTTAGGGTCTGTAAACAAGTCAAGATGGTGCCTGGCATTTTGCCAGAGGGAGTGGTTTGTGAAGTAACGCCAGCGAGCCATTGAGTGTGGAGATTCCTTATTGGTTGACTGCTGTATCTAGTTTATGTTAATTAAGATAAGCTGTGTGGAAAGTATATATACCCCTCCTGTCCTACAATAAACGGCTCCCACTCCTGCTGTATCAATCTACACAAGTTGTTTGCCACCCACCCCCAGGTTATTTTCCTGCAGCGTGAGTCCTTAAGAAAGGGTGTGTAAGGTGACACTGGCATCAAGGTAGCCTTTGAGCGGAGGTTCTCAACCATCAGAGAAATGCTTTCTAGAAGCTTCAGATAGGGCTGATCCCAAGGGAAAAGCAAAGGAGACCATTTCAGAAGAAGTGAATATGGCTGGAGAGCTTTGCATTTGACAAGACAAAACTGCAGAGCAAGCCTGTAGATAATCCTAGCATGTGTGTCGAATTAAGATCAAACGCAAACCCAGTGGTTCTCAAGAAACAACTGGAAGATGCGCTACAGGAATATGGCAGTCTCTCCACTGAAAATGACATCCTAGGAACAGTCACTATCATGAGCATACTGAATATAAAGAGAGGACTCCATAAATACAAAAGCCTAGCAAGCATTCATAAGATTTTTCACTCCTTTGGCAGGGTGTTTTCATTTCAAAAGACATAGTGGGTCACTGTTAACATGAGTTGCGGGGATTACTTGTTAATATGGTTTCACATTAAAATTCTATGAGTGTTTTTCAGAAAGAGGAATACCACTGAGATGAAAATTTAGTACTAAGTGAACAGGAAAAGAGGTTGTATATGTGGGATATTTGAATTGGTAAAGCTGTTGCTATGGAAACAAGCCATGAAGTCATGTACTTAATACCTATGAAAAAAGGAATTGCTGAAACCACAGCAATTGTATACCTTTAGTGAAACAAGTGAAAAAGTCAGTTTTACTCAACATTAATAATAAATTGGCATTTCTAGTTATTTGCATAGCGAGCTCTTGCATATAATTGTTCTATAAGCAAAAATAAGCATGCACACATATCTTTCTGATCCAAGTGCTGTATTTTTGTGTTTTCAGAATTTTGGTAAGTGTTAGAATGTCTAGGGAACACTTCTCTGGTTTTGCCTCTCAGGGTCACTCTGTAGTCAAGGACAGTAGCATGAACATTTATTCAAGAGTGACTCCTTTATGGAATCAACCTAGATATGTCAACAGATGAATGGATTAAGAAATTGCAGTATGTATACACAATGGCATTTTACTCAGCTATAAATGAAATCATGGCATGTGCTGGTGAATGGATGGAAATGGAGAACATGCTAAGTAAGCCAGACTTAAAAATTCACAGATCATATGTTTTCTCTCATATGTGGAAGTTAAAGTAAGATAAAGGAAAGAAAAGAGGGAGGATCGGATATCGTAAAGCTGTAGGGAAGATGAGTAGTGTAGAAGAASGAAATTGAGAGGGCGAGAGGAGGATCAGGGAAGGGGAGAAAATGCTGAGTGAATTTTTTTWAAATAATGTTCACATATAAATACATCAGAGGGAATTCCACTTTTATAAGTAGAAAGAACTAAACAAAAATAAATAGATGAGCAAAAATAAGACCAGCAAAGGAAGGAGACATGGAGAATGGGGGGAACATGAACTAAAATTGAATTGCATGCATGTGTGATTTTTTTTTTKGTCAGGATGAACTCAACTACTTTCTATAACTATCATGCTCTAATAATAAATATTTTTTAAAAAGCAACTTCTCCACACGAGTCAGTGTGGGAAAGCTACAAAATTTTTCTTAGACATTATCTTATTTTACTTGTCATTGTAAAATGTTAAAAATAAGTGCATGTCACAGACTTGTATGGTGGCTAAATCTGCCCCAAGAGAGACCCTTGTTTTCCATCTGTGATCTGCTCCCATCTCCATTCAGATCTATCAGGCTTTGTTTAACCACATAGAATGAGAGGAACATTCTACATGGCACACCAGGTTGGTTTTAGACGAGCCCCACTGTTTTCCTTCCTTTCTGTCCTGTACGACTTGAACTCAGAAGCTAAAATGATAAGTACCTCATCCTTCAGGAGGAGGAGGACAAGATGAATTCTGAGTTCCTGGGGACATAGAGTCCAACCGATTCTTTGTCACCTGTGAGAGTCAGTAAATGTCCAATGGCCTTATATCTCCATTCCTTCGTCCTTTTTCCTCTAGGCCTGTGACATGAGAAGTCTCGTAGAGCTGGCTCCCAAGCTGACTTCTTACTGCTGGTTACAGATTGGGAGTGTGGCAGGGGTCAGTTGGGCTTCCTTAGTCTCCCTCTCTCGCTTTGGCTACTAATTCTAAGGACATTGAAAATCCCAGTCCACTGAAAACATGGAGATTTGAAACAGGCTGACTTCACTCCCTAAGGGATCACTCTGACTGCAAAGGGATGTTTCTTTTCATTCATGCATAGGGTTGAGTGATAGAAATTTTTTTTTTTAACCAGTGAAGCGCCTTTCTAGGGAATGCCTTTTGACACTCCCTGTCTTTCTCTCCCCTCCAGCAGAGAGAGCCCTCCTCCAGGCTGCGGTCCTGCAGTGTCACCGACGCRGTTGCAGAGCAGGCCCACCTACCACCGGTAACCCATGCTTATTTCCAGTCACCAGCTGGCTTTGGGGCTTTGATTTGAAATCTTGGCTCCTAAGAAAGAGTTTTTCCTGTACAGATCCATTCACCATGTCACATGTGACACTTGAAACTTGCCTCAAAAATTGCCCAAGGAGAGGGTGGGTCTCCAACACACAGACTTGGTATTGCCACCCAGGTCAACAAAATGCTKAAAACTTTGCTGCTTTGGTTTTCACCCCAGTTTACACCAATTCTGATGTGCTTCCTTGATGGAAAGTTCTTGGGATGTTCATGATTCCCTCCACTTTGTGGAATGACTATCGCCGTCTCCAGCGAGCGGGACCCTGCCAACTCACCAACCCCTTAAAACAGGAAGAACTCTTCTGGGTAGTCACATGCTCCTTTGCATCCCTGTGGCCTCAACTCTAAACTCCACAAAGACACCTGCTCTCTCTTTAAAGGCAGAGAATTGGCAATAGTTTGTGCTCACTGCCCCACAGTTTAGTAACTATCAGCAAACAGAAGTGGCAGAGGGTTAGCAACATCCAGGGTATGTAACAATTAAATATTCCAATTGGAAGACGGGTCAGCACTGCCTTGGGAAGTGTAGGGCATACACATTACAAAGGAGAGATTTTATGCAAACTTCTTTCCTGTTTTGGAGGTGAAAATATTATGCAGTTTGACACTTTTGATTTGGCATTTTGACCTTGACTTTTTTTTTATTGCCCCACATCTGATTATTTTCTGACATACTTCATTATGTATGAATTTGAGGGTGGGAGGGAAGCACATTTAAAGTTTTTGAAATYGGTGTCTTCCCAATCGTGTCCATTTTTACTTGGCTTCAAAGGCTATTTTGGCCTAGGTTTTAGTTTTTATGTTTAAAAAATGAACTAATAAGTATATTAGTCAAGATAATTGATTCAGTTGTGAGTTACAGAGAGTTGACTGGTTTATAACAAGCTTGATGAGAGCATCTTTGCGGGAGGGGTTCGGTATGGGTCCCCAAAAGAGAACAATCAGCTGTGATGAACGGGGTTCTCCTCAGCCTGACGATCCTATGATTTTCCTTGATGAATTAATGGCTCTTTCTCTCCTTTTAAAAATCAATGTGACTTTAATTTGCCAAAGAGCTCACTTTCCTGGAGATTGGTGGTTCCTCCCGCTTGTGCTGTGAACTCACTGATCACCAGCGGCCTCCACCGGAGTGTTGAGGGCAGCAGATTTAGGAATCTGCTCAGTCCTGGACAGTGAGGGCGAAGCAGACTGGCTTCCATTTTTCCTTTCTTAGCCATCTCACTTTGTTGAGGTTGGCCTTGTTCACCAGACCAGGGCTCCAGCCTGAGCCTCCCTGGGCAGCAAGGGGTGGGGGGTGGGGGGGTTCCTCTGGCTGCTGGTGGTCAGCAACTGCTCAGCTTCATTTGGCCCAAGCTGGTGTCAGGGATTCTGCTCTCTTGTCACCTGCCTTCCRACGCTGTCGCAGCCATAATCCCCAGCTCACTCTGCAATGGGTCATCCCCTGAGTGCACTTCACTGATGTCAATTATCATTTAACAGCCCAATACCCCAACTAGGAGAGCACGGTCGTCCACAGTCTCGGGTGGTGAGGAGCCGACGGTAATGACACACTTTATCAGACATTAATTGCAGAGGTCTGACGGGGCGGTTTCATATTTTGATTAATGTTGAATATGCTGTCACTTTTTAACAAATAAGATCAGCTCCATTGTGCTACGGAGATGCACATGTTTTTTTTTTTTTATTTTGAACTTTCCCTTTTGGGGGAAAGTGGAATGACTTTTGGTCCCATTAACTGTATTGGGAATACCATCAAGCTTTGGTTAAGTGTGTTTAATTTGACTATTTCGAGTATAGTTTTGCCTTCTAGTGTTTGTACTCCTGATGAGCTTTTGGTTGTTGGGATGCTGGGTTAAAGTAATTTCATTGGAAGATAATCAGAGAAGCCATAGGAAATGCATGAGTTTGTACATGTGTGTCCTGATTGTGCACTGGGCTACATTCTCTGCATTTCCCATATCACATTTTTGTTTGTTTTTAACAGGGGGCCAGACTTTCTGTGCTTCCATCATGAGCTAGTGTTTCTATGCCCCAGAGACTTGACTCACAGGAGAATGGACAGGTTCATACAATTCCCAGGGCAGGGAGCATTCCCGTTTTATCCCGCCTATAAAGACTTAACTTGAGCAACAGATATACTGTTTATGGTAACTTGGAAATAATTAATATGTTCACAGAATGAAAAACTTGGGACTTAATGAGTTAAGATGTTTAAACGATCTAGAAAATTTGGTGCTACTTGAAGCCAATTACCTACTATTCTTCTTATTCGTTATTTTGACTATCTTATGCTATTCATGTTTGGGGGTAACTTAACTTTGGGTATTCTCATTGTCTCTGCTCTACTTGATCCTTAAAGTCAGATTAGCATTGAGTTTGTGCTTTGAGATGCAGTAGCTCCTTGAAGAATTTGCCTTATTGTTTCACCTGTATTGTTTTTGCTGTAACTGCTCATTAGTGTTGAATAACTTTACGTATAAAATAGCTGATTTTCTGAAGGATGTTGATAATTTACAAAAGTGATTTAGGTGTATTGTTAGATTCAAGTGCTCAACGTTGTACAAGAGAAAATCAAATTGACATTCAGTAACAGTCAGCATGATTGACAATATTGAGCTGCATTGGCTTCGATGAAAGTCATGCATTGGGTGATCCAGGCTTAGGCTCTAGGAGGCTTCAAAGAATTCTATATGAACTTGCTTAGTTCCACTGTATGCTGGCAATGTCTGTGGGAGTAGTGGAGCTAGAGGTAAACAGATCATTCCATGAGATGATTTTAGTACCTCACTCTGCATGGTCAGTGTGTCATCCATTTTTGCATTTTATTGGCCTTGCAACCTGTTTTTGTCTTGGCATGTTGTGCCAGCTGATGATCATAAATGGCAGAATAAACTGGATTAGTGTAGTACCAGGCTCCGTGATCAGAGTCCCCTGGCAGGACAAGGTGATCCATCTGAATGAGATTCCATCTGACTCCAAAAACTTCCCTTTTCCTGACTTCTTGCCTGTGTTCTCCTTTTCCTCATCCATGAATTAAAATATGGGTTTGGGTTGGGTATTGATTTTTTTTTTTTTAGAAGACTTGAGCAAAATAATCCCTCCACATGTCATTCATGCTGTGCTTTCTCCATACCTCGAGAAACTTGGAAGGAACCTTCCCGATCCAACCCCACCACTTCCCTTCCCCACCATCCTTTGTTCTGTCTGCCCTGGATGTCCTGTTACCCAGTTGTCTCCTAACATGATTTCTGCCTCATGGACCCTCTTTCCTGCCCCTCTGCACATTGTTCTACATTGAAGTGTGTGCCCAGGCTGGAGCTCCCCGGGGTGGACTACCTTGCTCCTTCTGTGGGCTTTCCCATGTACACACACATGCTGTTTTCTTTTAGAAAAGTAAATTGTCATATACATAATGCTCAACAAATTGGTTCTTTTTTACTTATGGTCATCCTTCTGGATATGTTAACAATCACTTAATATTCAGTGATGTGAGTGTAGCTCACTTTGTATAAATTTTCCACACTGAAGGGTATTTAGGCTCATATACTGTGTGGAATAACCATCCTGGTATATCTGGCTTTCCTTAGAGTGCATTTATTCCTATAGTATAACAACAAGGCCCTGATTCTCACCTAAGCAACCATAGCCCTTTGATTTGTGGCGAGTAAATGCACACTGGTGTCACTTTCTGGCTGGCTAAGCCAGAGCCCTCCCTTTGAGATACCAGGAGAGGAATAACACAGTCCTTTGATCTTCGCTGTGCAGATTCTAAAATTACACTAACATACTGCTCTGGCAGGATTCGAGCCAGTCTTGGAGAATCTGTGGTGGTCAGTATCAAAGTGGTTATTTACAAAACCATATTGATACTTGTTCAGTTTAAAACATGATCGAGTTCATCATTTTCATGAAAGAAACAGAGCTGTTGTAAAGCAGGAGTTGGTGGATGTTTGGCATCATACAACACAGTGATAAATCCAGTCTACAAGTAAAAAGCTGTGAGATGGTAAATATCCTAAGCCACGGGTTGGGGTTGTTGTTTTTGTATTTTTGATCACCCACCTTGTTTCCCGAGGTGGTCTGGAGCATGCTGTATGCACACAGCAGTAGTAGAAGTCTGGATGGCCCCAAGGCTGGGCTGTTCCCAGGATGTACTAGCCATGTGCATCCAGGCAGTGTTTTGAGTCACAGATGGACTCCTCGGCACAGACTGTTCCACATGCTCATTTGGAGAGGACACAGTAAAGAAACATTTTAATAACACCCTCTCACATAAAAATGCCACTAAATTGCAGATCACCAGTTCAATTCTCAATAGAAGGTACAATGGACATTTTAATCAAATTCAGTGTTCTCTCGACGACTCTGCAGTTTTCCATAAACTGGTTAGTACTGTTAATTGCGCTATCGGTGAAAATGACCTAGTCCCTGGAAATTCGAACAGCTTGGACTTCAGTTCTGAGATTACCCACAGCACAGCCAAGTTTTTGCAATTTATCAGTCAACTCATAAATATGGTTTCCAGGGACACTCAATTGTTCTAGTAATCGGAAGATTTCTGGAACTGAGTTTTCTGAGAGCAGAATTGCCTCCCCACAAAAAGTAACACAGCAGGTAATCCCGGTGACTCAGGAGGCTGAGGGAGGGAGGATCCCAGTTTTGAGACCAGCCTCAGTTAGTGAGGCCCTAAGCAACTTAGTGAGATCCAGTCTCAAAAGTTTTAGAAAATGACTAGGGTGGAGCTCAGTGGTAAGCCCCCTGGGTTCAATCCCCAGTACTGAAAGAAAGTTAATACAGCAAGGAAGGACAAAAGAACAGACTCCACTTAGTATTTCATTTAGTCAGAGGCATTTTGAATATATAAATCACTGTAAATCAGAATAAGGTAGCATGCACTCTGTCAAAAATACTGATTGACTGCTAAGAGTAGGTTTTTATCATTGCCTCAAATAAAGGTAGCCTAGAACTAGTGCCTTGTGTTAGTGTCCAGCTGGAGAAGGAAGAACAGGCAGCTCTGCCCAGGCTGTGGGTTAATCTGTCTAGTCGTGAAAGGACTTAAGTCTGCAAGTTGAGGTTTCTACTACTCCTGTCGAATCTCCTCCCCACCTGGATCCAGGATGCTGTGGTCATCTTGGAACTATTTTATGACACCTTTAGGATTTACCTTAAAAAAAAAAAAACAAAAAAAAAGGAAATGGTCTCTGTATTTTTAGCAGGATAATAATCTTGCCTTGCTGGGTCAGCAGTAACTACTGAGTCTGTTGCTTCCCAGTTAATTGTGCAGTTGCTTTTTCTCTGGAGTGTGCTGTTAAGCTTATGAAGTGGCCTCCAGAGCCCCTTCAGATGCAGCCCTGAGTACCTGCAGGGGACTTACTTGTATTTTTCTGGGGTCCACTGAGGGGCCCTGTGACTATGACCTCCTTTGGCTACTCAGGTTGTTAGTAGTGAACAGAAATGGTGGTATAAAGACAGGAAGGTGTAGGGTCAACAGATCTACATCCTCAACCTCATTAAAAAAGAGTAACACCTTGTGAGACACCTGGAAGCTCAGAGAAGCTACCCTAACTAGGAAAGGTAACACCCAGGGCAGCAGCAGCCTCGCAGAACAGGTCCCTCCTAGTTGTTGGACCTGGTTCCTTCTCCCAGGAGCCTGGGGGCCCTGGCTGCCCTCCTGTTTCTGAGCACTTGTCTGTTGGTGCTAGTCTAGGATGGGCCCTTCCCAGGACAGCTCTCGCCCCACATATCCAATGACCTCACGAGTCCCTGACCCATCCTTGCTCACCTGGTGTTCCTGCATCCAGACTGCCTTTCTTGGACTGCTTCTTAGAAACAAAAGTCTCTTTCTGCAGTCTAGTTTGTTCATTGGCCAGTTAAAGGGACACATTCCTTATCTGTGTACTGCGTAGGAGTGGCCTTGGTTTATGAGGCTCCTTGGGATTCTTCTGTCTGGTGACAGAGGACCTCCCCAGCTGAGTCATGCAGATGTACCTGTGTTCCTTAGCTGTCACCATGGGAATCTGAGCATCCATGAGGGTCTTTGTATTGGATTTTTATTCTGCCCCAGATGCTGTCATGTACAGGGCCTCAGTAGCTGGAAGAACCCAGGACTGCACTCGAGGAGCACCCCCGTGCCACTTGGGTGGAGCAGGAGTGTCCATAGTGTTGAGTAGCTTGAATGCCTTTCATCTCTACATGGTTTGACAGTGAAGTTTATTAACTAGAACAGATTATAGTGTCTTTCTCTTTCCTAATAGTCACCCTAGCAACAGGTAAGACCTCAGGGTCAGAAAGTTGAGCCTGTGAGAATGTGGAGCCCCTTCACCCAGCTGTGCAGGGTTCCTCTCACAGTGGATTTGAAGCTCTTAAAAAAGCTATCATTGTCTTTCAGACACTCTTTGGCATGTTTTCTGTGCAAATAAAATTAACTTACCTTGTCCCGAAAGTAGAACTATCTGGTTGTGTGTTACTTTATTAAAACTGATCAGAATACAAATGCTAGTTGTTAAATAATAACGATTTCTTGCACAAACAGCCATCAGTGGCCTATGTACATACCACGCCGGGCCTACCTTCAGGCTGGGAAGAAAGAAAAGATGCTAAGGGACGCACATACTATGTCAATCATAACAATCGAACCACAACTTGGACGCGACCAATCATGCAGGTATGAAGATCGCCATCCAACCTAAACGCAGGCCCAGGCCGTAACAGACAGGACACACATCGCCCACGTCCTCTCCCGATGTTTATGTGTTGCTCTGAAGACATTGTTTACAAAAAAAAAAAAAAAAAATGGTCTCAGAAAAGACATGCATTACTTTAATTACTTTAGTATAGCATTTGCCTAAGGAAGACCTTGGTCCTCAAATCACTCTGCCCTTGGATATATTTTTTAAGTGGAACATGAAAGGTGTTTTCAAAATCAGCCTGTTGCAGCCCTCCCCTGCGCCCCCTTCTTCTGAGACTAGTTTTTTATGGGGGCCAGTGATTCATTTTTACTCCCCTTGAATGTGTTTCCCCCTCCTTTCCCCCATTATTATGTTTAATTATTTCCTCATGCTTGAACTAGGCCAACCCTCTTATTATTGCTGTGTGGTGTTGTTGGGGTTCATGCTTCTAGTCACACGAAGGGAGATCCTCATATGAAGCTAACTTGTTTTTGCCTCCAAAATAGCTTGCAGAAGATGGTGCCTCCGGATCAGCCACAAACAGTAACAACCACCTAATCGAGCCTCAGATCCGCCGGCCTCGTAGCCTCAGTTCGCCAACTGTAACTTTATCTGCCCCACTGGAGGTGAGAAGGCTCCCTCGTCTAACTGGGGTCACCTCTGTCCTGTGGCTTCTCCTCATCTCTCTTCTCTCTTAACGCGGACTTCAGTTTTGCAGCCTCCTCCTGATGAGTCGTGTGTCCCGGGGGTGTCCTTGTGTAGCCTCCCCACATGCTTCTCCGTCTCACCCCGTTAACATCCAGGCCTGGCACGGTCCTCATCCTCATCTGGCTGACGCCGTGCGTGGTAACTTGTGCTGGATGTGGCCCCTCTTCTCAGAACTTCTTCCATTCTTGTTGTGTTTTGCTCCTTATTGCCTGTTACCGCATTAGAACTGCATAATAACTCTCTCAAGTACCAGTGCTTATATTGAGTTTCGAAACATAGCTGTTGCTTTGATCATTTTTTCCTTTGACTGTAGGGGGTCTCATGGGATGGGCGTTCGTGTCTCTGATGCATATCTGCCCTCTGAGTCATTGCTGGACATCTGCTTTGCGCTCTCCTGTTTGTGTTGTTTAGTGCCATCCCTGGATGTCACAAATGTCAGAGTTAGAAAAGCCAGAGAGGAAACATTTGAGGTTCTAAACTTGACCGTGGGTTGGTTTCTTCTTTCTCTGGGTCGGGCTGCTGCTAGGTGGGAAAGGGTGACAGCTCTTCCGGGCTCTGACGCAAACATGGCTAACAACTAACTCTGTCMTTCCAGGCGATTGTCTCCGTTGGTGGAGGTTTTTCTTCTGTGCTTTAAAATCTGCCAATCTGTTCTTTGGTTAGACTGTGAGCTCGTTGAGAGCAGGGGCATATTTTTCTCCATTCTCTGTAAATTCTCCATCCATAAGGCTTAATAGAAAAGAGTATTTTTGATACTTACCAAGTGGTTGCTAAAGAATGATGGTTATGAGTATTTAATATTGTTGTGTGTTTAACCAACAATTTAAAAAAAAAAGTGTAAAGAAAAACAAAGTATAAAGTTAGGTGGATTTAAAAGTAAGTAAATGAAGAAACAGGGTTTCCAGGAGCTTCCCCCTTGTCCGTGTCCAAGGAGGAGCATTCTGCAAGCCCCGGGCACATTTGACGCACTGACGCACTGGAATGGCGCACGGTCAAGAGTTCTAATGCTCATTATTATTCCTTAGGGTGCCAAGGATTCGCCCATACGCCGGGCTGTGAAAGATACCCTTTCCAATCCACAGTCCCCACAGCCATCACCTTACAACTCCCCCAAACCACAACACAAAGTCACACAGAGCTTCCTGCCACCGGGCTGGGAAATGAGGATAGCTCCCAACGGCCGGCCCTTCTTCATTGACCATAACACAAAGACTACGACATGGGTAAGGCTCTGCTTTTCTTGGGCTCCGTGTTCATCGTGAGGTCTGGCATTGATTCTCTGCTCGGCACTCTTGGGAGTTTCCCAGACTCCAAAGGATGTCTCCCGAGGGTCTCCTGGCCCACATCTGTGCTGCAGGTCTGGGCTGGCGGGCAGAGAGGGTCTGGGCGCAGATGCCAGCTGCAGGGTATTGCTGTCTGGTTGGCCTGCCTGTCCTCACAGCACACTGGGGACATGGCCAGTATAGTTGGAGATGTGGCCACATTTGGAATAAATGTGTTCCATGTTGCTAGGGTGTGTTTTGTTTTTTGTTTTTTGTTTTGTACTTCATCACACCTCCTACAAATTATTTAAAAATACTTTTTCTTTGTCAGATTTCTTTTGAAACTTTATTGACATTACCCCACCTTTCCTGTCCTATCGCTTTAGTTTTTAGTGTTTATGCCACATCAGTATTTTGCATCTCATACATTGAATGACTTGGTTGTAAATCTGATCACTCTCTTCAGTAAACGTTTTGTCATAATCGATTTTTCTTACCMTGTTGTTATCTCATTGTGCTCCTGGATCATTTGTGAGAAAGAACTTGAGTGACAGTATGCAAATGTGAATGTGCACATCTTCATATTCCTCTGTCACTTCATTTCTTTTGCCRAATCCGTGGTGGCTTTTTCAAGGCAGGCTGTGGTTCTTCTTAGAATTGGCTGGTGTTTTTCTACTGTATGATCTATAGACCTCTAAGTCAACTGAAATGTTTTCTTTCCTCTCTGGGTTTTGATGCTGCAGGAGGTGCGTATTACCTCCTGCCCCCTGTCCCTGGTCATCTGAGTAGAGTCCCTTCTCAGACTCCCTTGGTCCTTGCATCGTTTGTGCTGCTTGCTTAGGACTGGCGTTATGTGAAAGCTGGTTGAGTTTGGAGATTGTCTGTGGTGCCAGCTCTTCGGCCTTGGATCTGCTTTGGATTCCTTTCCCTAGTGGTCCACACCAATAYGTCCAGTTGGGAGAGCAGGAGTATAACGTTAAGGAAAAGGCGTCGACCAAGGTGACCTGGACTGTCRTTTGTACTTGGTGTGTGGTGTGATGTTAATCCAGTCCTTAAGGACTGGTCTTGAGRGCGCTCCCAACAGTCATGCAGAGCGGTGCAGTATGTCCCTGTGAGGGCATTCTTGGCACCGAGGCAGGCCTGGGCCTTCTGCTGTGAGATGTCTAACATCCTTGGCTCCTGACACTGAGAGCTAATAGCTGCCATCACCCACCCCCRAAATACTGATAACTAAAAATGCCCYACACATTTCCAAACAGTCTTCAGTGAGAGCCGCTCTTACAGCTCTTGCTATTTTGCAGTAAGGGGATTTACTCACCTGCCAAGAGCACTTATCATTGAGATCTGATGACATTCATTTGGTAAACTGATAACTGCGTCTAAGGCATATAATGACACAGAGTTTTGTTTGACTCACCTTTTAGTCTAAAGATAGTATTACAGGTTTGTGGGCCAGATGAGCATAAGAGACAGGCAGCTCTTTGGAAAACAGACTAGTGAAGATTGGACTTGGGTCTTTTTTGTCATTGACACAGAACCCTGGCTATCTGCTGGTGTTCCCATTTCCTATAGTGCTTCTATAATTTCAAATCCTTGGCCAGAAATTGGAGCTCCAGAATCGGGGAGGGGGGTGGTAAATATTATAAAAGCAGATGGATCCGTGTTTGGAGCCACTGTGACTTGCCAACATAAGCTATGATTTTAGTAATTTGAACTAGCTTAGTAATCAAATCCCCTAACCTTTTCACAGCCTTTCACGCCACAACTGCAGTGTAATTGCAGCTGGGCATATTTTATTTTAAATAGTACTATCCTTATTTATTGCCACCACCATTGCTGAATGAAACCCAGTTTTAATTTCCAGTTGCCTCTTTTTACCCAGATAACTGTTATTGACAAATTTACTCATTTAAAATTTTAATTTGCTAGAACAACATTTTGTCACAGATGCTGCTGGTCAAAATCCTTAAGGGGACACCTTCTTCCCTAAACCCAGGTGTGCTGACCCGGCTGCATTATCGCTAAACAAAGAACAGCCAGAGAGTCTCAGTATAGAAGACGCACTCGGAGTGTCATGTCTATTTTAACAAAGGACAGAGGGGCAGGGAACAGTAAAGATGATTTTCTGACTTAAAATTTGGTTTGTTTACTTTCTGAAAGAATAAATAGGAGGACAGTGCAGCCCTCCTTAGATTTGACCAKTAGGATAGGAAAAGGAAAAAAATCTGGTAGGATAGTTGATAATAATGAAAATAATACTCCTCCCCCCTTTAGCCCGGGAACTTCGGATTCTGGTGCTAACCAGAAGCAGCAGAAGATCCAGGCCAGGGCTTCCCTGTGTGCACCTCGGGTGTTTTATGACAGCCATTCCTAGACACGAATGATGAAGGTAGCCTGCTGGCAGTCCATTTGGAATATGCATAACTATTTTAAAAGGAAACAAGATACAGGAAAGAATAGCCTTGTCTCCACCTGGGTCAGGTAGCAAGGAGTGCGTCCTAGAAGCCGTTAAGTGGCGGATGGCAGCCCAGGAGGCCTCACCTGGTGTTCTCTGCTAAGGGAACAGCTCAAAGAGTGAGTACAAAAGGATGTCCATGCCTCTCACGGCACAAAGCACCAGCTTGTTTTTGTAACAAGAAAGATTACACCTTAGTTAAGTTTCAGCTTTGTTTTCTTCCCAAGTTCAAACAAATAAAATGGATTGTAGCCTAGGCATGGTCTCTTCCAGGAAGGAAAGAAGGAAAAACACAGCTGTTTTTTTGTAACTAACCAGGACTCCCATCTCTGATATTTTTAAGACTTAGGGAAACCCTGATTTAAGAGAAGATGCTGAACCTTTGCATTCCATTTAAAAACACTTTYGATTGAATTGAAGAAGCAATTCACGCATGAAAGAGATCCCTGACTACCAAGGAGAGGGATGAACAGCCCGTGTGTCTGCATATTTGATTCATTTGTATTCTTATCGTTCAAGACCTCATTAGCCTTCCACCTTCCTATCCTCCCTGAAGCTGTCSCTACTGACCCCAGGCCTCAGTGGGAGAGCAGCTTTCTGATCTCCAGACAGCCTCAGGATTTGGTCATTGGCAGCGACTACCATTATTTTGATTATTGGGGAAATAATATGACCCCTCTGGCCCTCACRTCCCAAGAAGTCTGGGTTTCCATGCGAGGCCAGTTTAGCAAACTGTGAAACTAAGCTTATATTACACTTCTTGCTCCACTCCAGTCCCCCCACCAACTGGAATTTGCTTTAATCTCGGCTTCTTTCTCCCTTTCTCTAAACCACCAGCCAGTTGTCTTGCACACTTGACTTCATGTGTTTGGAAGGTGTGACTGGCCTTGGTACAGCATGCAGAAGCCCTACCTCCTGTGTGTAAGAGTCTGGCTCTACACCTGGTGTGGTCATTGGCTACATGGGCAGCCAAGAGTCCTTGGAAGCTGTGACTTTACCTGGTTGGGCAGCTTTGGTGGAGTCCTATGCTTTAAGTTTTTCCTCTGTCTGCAATTAACCAGTCACATAATTTTACCAGATTACCAGCTTCTTGGACCTTCTAAATCCCAAATCTGTTTAGTATATATGTTTATTCTGCAYGCATTCCAGTATGCTGTAGAATACTGGATTTTGTGTCATTTCTTAGTCTTTAAATATATATATGATTCAGGGTCARCATTCATTACAAATGAAATAAATCATTAAAAGATTGGTTCCTCAATTAGAAGTTTGCTATAGTTGACAGAAAGCAATGGTTCATTTTAATTTTTGTGAACTCTTGATTCTTACCAGTTCCCAAATCTGTCATTTGGTTACAGTCCTGGGATAATATAACTTATTGTTGGCTCAGAAAACTGTTGAAGCAGAAAACCTTTTTAGTAATTTGACAGCAAATGCTTTGATAAAATTGAATGAATCTAATGTCAAATGTCTCAGAAATTTGATTTTTAATCCTGAGCTGATAATGTTATTCTGATTGACACTGCATTATTCTGGGTTTTAGCACTCATTTTCTAATCGTCTGAGTTTAAAGACATGGATCCTTAACTGAGCATGGTAGCGCATTCGTTAATCCCAGTGACTTAGGAGGCTTGAGGTAGGAAGATCCCAAGTTTGAGGTTAGCTTCAGCAACCTAGAAAGACCCTATCTCGAAATAAAATACGAATAGCTGGAGATGAAACTCAGTTATAAAGAACCCCTGGGTTCAATTCCCAGTACCACCCTCCCCACCAAAAAAGACATGGATTCTCGGAGTTACATCACATTTTAAGTGGTCTRTGCATGCATCGTCTTTTGATCAGGCAGTTCCCAGATGCCAGGCATAATATTTGGGCAAGTCAGTGTTCTAACACTCAGTTTCCTCACTTCAAGAAACAGTAGTACCTGCACCAGCCTCCTAACCAGGGGTGCTACAACATGGTGCATCTCGCTATTCTTTRTAGATCATGGCTCAAGTTTTAGAGTCGACATTTCTTTTCTGTGGTATCTCATGAAACATATCCCTTAAGAAAAATCTCTTGTAAGCTTTTATACTAAAGCWTGAATGAGAATCCAATCAGGAGAACTCGGTTGGGAATCGGGGTAAAGTTCCAAAGCGAGGGGCCTGTGACTTCACCCGATGAAACGGGCTGTCTCTGGAATAGCCACAGGACTTCCCATCAGGCCAGATTCGGAATCTCTGTAGCTCAGGAAGGAGTGGAGGGTGCCAGGCCCGCAGRACTGCTGTTCCTCCCACGTCAGGGTCCACAGGGACATCCACAGCCCTTGTCCTACTCCCTCTCTGAAGTGGCRCCATGTCAGCACTGGCTCCCTCCACGCTGATTTCCAAGGTAAATCACTGCTGCCAGCCTTCCCCCTCGGCTTCTCAAAGTCTTGGGATATAGTGAACCTTTTATTGAAGTGTTCTTCCTCTCCTTTCACCAAGCACAAGGAGGAAGAGTAGAATCTCATTTGGGAGCTGGTCAGCCAGGCTTCCTGTGCAGAGCAGAGAGCTGGGATCCTTCCGTGGCYCACGCACAGGCAACCTGGTCGATTTGGAATGCCCAATTCAAGACCAGGAGAGCTGGTAACCACACCAGGGAGTCCCTCTTAACACTGCCCACCCTTTACATTTTTCCTGCAGGAAGATCCACGCCTGAAGTTCCCAGTACACATGCGGTCAAAGGCATCGTTAAACCCCAACGACCTCGGCCCTCTTCCTGTAAGTACATTGGAGGCTCCTGGAACAGTCTGAGCCTCTTCCTCATTCATCCACCCGGTGTAGAGGAGGAGGGGTCCTGAGAGCATCTCCTTCTCCAGACACGCTGGGTCCCATCGGCCTGCATTTCTGAATAGGATTGGGTGTTTGGTGGGTTTCTATTAGTGCGTTCCAGGTCTGTGTTCAGTACTTGGGAAAGAAGTTTCTGAAKTGCCAGCCACTAGTGGCAGATAGACTGTAAACTAAGGGATGCAAGAAGCATTCAGTACAGGTGACGGTTYAGGCAGCAGGCATTTATTTTACAACGTAGCAGCCCGTGAGTTCCTCCCATATTTCTGTTTTAGCTAATGKGGAATAAAATGAAAATGGTGTGAGAGGAAAAGGCAGAAGCGGTCTCAGGAAGTTTATATGTGTCATTTAACCTACAGATATTTCAAATGTTTTCTCCCTTGTTGGCGACTGTTCACAGGTCTAATTTTTTTAAGTTCTCTTTGAGGGAGTGGAGTTCTTTGGTCCAGATGGGAATCCGAGTGAATCTTTCCCATGCATCCTCCCCAGCAGCCTGCCCTGACAAAGCTTGGAAGGGGGGCAGGCTCAGAGGCTAAGAGTGCTTTCTTTAAAAGGGGAYTTTTCTTCACTATTGTTTTCCAAGCATTAAGAACCTTCAGGGCTACCTGATGGGGCAAAGTCTGAAGCTACAAAAGTTAGCATTCAGTCTGTTCTCAGTACTATCAATATCCCTCCCTGTTCATGTCTACTTGGTTCCTGGGTTCAGAGACAAAGAGGCTGGAGAATATGTTTGCAAGGTACATTGTCAGAATCTGTTGGATTCCAGAGTTTCAGATGGGAAATCGGGACAGATGGAAGGATGAGCACTTACCAGCCTCATCTTAAACAGTATCCAAATCGTTTAGCTCCTGAGTTTGAATAAGGAGAGTTCACAGCCGAGGATACAGCCTCTTAATAACATGAATGAAGTCACCGTGTCTAATGTGTTTATATTAGCCCTCCCCTTCCCTCCCCGTAGTACTCAGTATTTATTTAACCAAATGAGCTCTTCCAGCCCAACTCTCCCATGGCATGCTGATGCTTCCCCTTAGAGCTTTCAAGATTTCCTCCCCCTCCACCCACCCCCCAACCAAGGACTCTGAGATGGTTGAACATGTGCATATTGCTAGAGGTCAGGAGTTTRCCTGAAATGTTTATATTTAATTTATTCTCAGTGTTAAGATGTACCCAAGAAGAGAAGGGTAAGAAGGGGTTCTATAGTTTTCCAATGTTGCCTCTGAATTTGGAGCCGCTGATTGATGTTTGTGTTCTCTCCCCGCCCCCTGCCCTTCCCTGGATGTTAGCCTGGTTGGGAAGAAAGAATTCACCTGGATGGACGGACGTTTTACATTGATCATAGTAAGTCAGGGCTGCCCTGGGCGCACAGGTGTTGCTGGGGAAGGGGAGGAGGGAGGGTAATTCAAATGTGATAGTGAAAGCTTTATCGTTTTGCTTTGTCYAGACAGCCAGGTGTTATGTGGAGAGAATGACCCCCGAGACTCAGTGCCCTCGTACGGTACTGTGCCTTCACCCCAAGTTTGCTTTAAAGTAGCTCCTCAAGCTTTCACCCAATTTGATCTTGCCCCCATTAACTTTTTTTTTAATTAAAAAATTTTCTTTTTTGGTTGATCCCTTGACATTTGCGCTTTTAATAAATACACTCTGGAAATAGAAAATAAGATTAGAAGCTGATTTAGTCAAAACAAATGTGTGTATGAACAGTGCTTTTAGCTGCATCTAAGTTCTCTAAACCCTGCCTTCAGAGGCCCATGGCAAGATGCCTTTTCTGACCTTATTTTCTATTCGCGGCATGTTTCCCCCGCTCCCACCACACTAATACATGTGCAGCTGTTTTCTCGAAATTGTAGATTTGCTGAAGACACTTGCTTCAGCACTTATAAGTGTGTGGTTTCTCATTTCAACTAAAAGTTACACTAATAAATGTTTGCTTTTAGCCAGTGGGGTACTTATTTATTTTATTTTAAGGTGACATGTTTTTCTTGATCATATTGATATAGCCCTTATACTTTCTGAAAAAAAGGTATTTTAAAAAAGACTTCAAATAGATCTCAAGTTCAAGTCATGTATGCAATTTAGGACTATGTGAGGGTTCTGTTTTCATGTAACTCGTAAACAGGAAGTCTGTGCCAGGTTTGGTTTTTCCTTTAGTTGTAAATAGACAAACACTTTATTTTCTGTGTGTGGTGCTAAGGATCAAACCCAGTGCTTCACATGTGCTAGGCAAGCGCTCTACCACTGAGCTACAACCCCAGCTGCTGTGCCAGGTTTTCATCAGAAAGCAAAGATGCATGGTTGAGCTACTTGCTGAGAAGTGTGGTCATGAGGAATCCTCATACATGTAGGACCTGTCACACTCTGACTAGCCTCGTACCTCTCGCAGATGTTACTAGGGGACTGAGTGCATTACATGCAGGACTTTGTTTTCAGGGACGAGGGTTTGAGGGGTTAGAAATTGAATTAAGAAAGGGCCCCTCGATTTAGAAAGTTGTCTTACCTGTATTTAGAGAGGTAAGCTACCTTTGGGTTTAAATCATATTTCAGCACACACATAGGTTAGTTCTTCAGTCTTTGATCAGGAAAAACATACTGAATTGCATACTTTGCAGATTTTCACAGGGATCATAAATTTACTACAAGAAATGTTTTAAAATGTATGTGCATACCCCAATTTTCCCCTCAATACAACATTTATTTATAATTCTAAGAATTCACTAAAGCAGGGAAGAGGTCACATCTCTCCTCCTATTAAAAACAAAAAGCAGTTACCTTTTAAGTTTTTATGCATTATAATTTCAATTTTCAAAGAAATATTGAACATTTTATTAAAACTAGGACTAAAGTGGTAACAGCCTTGCTCTGTGACCCACAGAGAGCATTTCACACATTAAGGCATGTCCTGGCTTAGGTGACCTGGAAAGAGCTTAAGAGAATGTTCCTAATGCACCCCCAGGAGTTGGAAGCAGGAATAGCACTACCACAAAGGGCCATGCTCATGTACCTTAGAAACAAAACCACAGCCTATTTTCCCAGTGGCACACTTGGGCCTTGTATATTCAGGTGCTTAATCAGTGGTGACTTGAAGTCAGGTTTGTGGAAGGTTCGAGGTGAAGGTCTCAGGAAGTTGCCATCCATGGGCATGCGTGTGGCTGGCCGCACCTGCCTGGCTGCTCCTTACTGATGACCTATCTGCTACTTGCTCCAGTGCTCCTCTCGGGTGYTCCTTGTCACTCCAAGAGAGGCTCCACTTCACTTCTGGGAATTGAGTGATGTGGTTAAGACCCTGCTCAGAGCCTGGTGGATCTGAGCTATCCTAACATACTTGTGTTCAGGGACTTGGATATTAAAATGTATTTTGCCTCTGCACAATATAGTAATATTATAATTATATATATAGTAATATATAGTAATATAGTATATAGCTCTTGGATCTAAACTTAGGTGACCAAAAACCATTTAAGAAAAAGATGTGTTTAAAAGAATCCTGTTAACTTTTCATGCCACATTTCTGACAAAGCTCCATAATGGAACATGATTCAAGGGAGGAACATGACGTTAAAACAGTTCAGTGTCATTTGCTTTTCTACCAAAATCTAGCCTATGAGAATACAGAACCCCTACTTTTTTCAGAGGCCTTATCCAGTTGGTRGGAATTCTCCCAAGCTGGGTTTAGTTAACATTTAGGAATTTCTTTACCCTCATAATGAAGTCTCTTTCCAGTTTTCTAACAAAATTTGGTTAATGTTATAATGCCTGCAGGACAGAAATAAGGTCCTTACATATGTTGTTTTACAGTGAAAGCAGTCGTCTTAGAAGTTGTTCAGAGACATCCTGTCTTCCTGCAGAGCTGGATTGAGTAGAACATGAATGCACTTGTCCTTTAAATAATTAGGTCACTTAAATTTTTTTTCTGCTTKATAAACTTTTCTTGAGAACTTAGACATTTTCCAGATTCACAATATTCAACAAAGGACTAAATTTCATGCTGGACCTCTGTTCAGTGGTGGAGAGGGGGCCTCAGAGATGAATAACCCAGCCCCTGCCCTCCAGGGGTGCATGTCCAGGGCTTGTCTWAGGTGTACTGATGAGGGTCTAGAGCAGTTGCTGTTTGAGTGCAGGTGGAGAGGGCCAGAGGGAATAGTTGCCTTTCAGACTGCTTCCTCCCTTGGCATGGGACTGAGCCTGGCAGGCTTGGGGAAGAGCAGCAGTTCTGGGGGTGTGGCTATGGGCAGGTGTGCTGTGTTCAGAGAAGTGCAGCTTCTCCCACCTGCTGTGCACAGAGGAGACCAGTGTGACACCCAGCTCAAGTCAACAGATGTCTGCCAGGAGTGGGGACCGAGGTTCATTCTGCAGGTGATGGGGAGTTCCAGAGGGCTTTTCCAGAGGTGACAGTGGTCAGATATGTTCTTTGGAAAGCTCTTTTGGCAGAGCAGTAGAGGAAGACTTGAACTGGGAAAGTAAGACCACGCTCAGGGGAGCCAAGAGAATAGAAGGGGTTGGGGAGGAGGAGGAGGAGGAGGAGGAACACCCCAGCAGGAATTCTTAAAGAGACAGTTCAGTTACCACCAGGAGGTGTAGGGGTGGGGATGTGGCCAGGTTCCTGGTTTGAACCACAGGCAGGACTGCAAACCTGCTCTTCAGGAGGATAGGGTTATGTGGCAGTTCGGGGTGAAGAGTGCTGATCTGTTCTGTTTGGGCAGAGGCCCCTGGGGGAGGCTGGGTGTAATGCTGAGGATGGAGCTTGCCGCTCAGGTATGGCAAGCGGTTCTGGTAATCCTCCTATATTGGCAATAGCCAATTTATTTTTTATTTTATGACAAAGTCTGGTTGAAACAGTTAAAATCCAAGTTGATGTTTTAAAGCACCAACTCTGCTGTATGCTTTATTTGGTTTTCTTTTGTTTTCCATCACAATAGCAACTTTTACTTTCCAAAATCTTCTGTTTTCAAGGCAGGGGACACAAAAATGCCTTTTTCTTCTAAAACCATTTAGACTCTTCATGCAAATTTTATGCCAGCGTGAAAGCAAAATAAGGATTCTAAAATAGTCATGAGCTCTGGGAGCTTTTCTTTTAAAAAAAAAAAAAACTTTACCTCTGCTTTTATTAAAATAACATCAGACTTTTAGAAATTCCTGGTACACTTGTTACAACTAAGTGCATTGGGAGTAGTCCTGCCTCAGGGTAGGTGCACACAGGGTTCCACACCACTGCCACCCACCTTTGACCAACTTATAGGACCCATCTTCCTCAGTCCTCCCCTTCCCTGCCCCTGCAGCATACACCAGGAATTCCTAAAGTCTTTAATTAGGCACAGTWACAAATCCCAGCTGCTGTGTTCAGTCCCCTAGAAAAGCAGTGCTGAAGGTAATGTAGACTCATTTGGAAGAAAGAAAACCACTCTGTCAATGTGGCCAAAAGGGAACCTTCCTCTGGAGTCTTCCTGGGCTGCATCTAATACTCATTTTTTGGACTGCCTTAGCTGCTTTGGTTTTTGTGTGCCTGTGAGTGACGCATGTAATGGATTATATTTGTTCAATGCAGGATTCCTAATTGAAAGCAGTTTTTCAATACCATAAGCAAATAAAACACTATTTGAAATGAGGAAAAAAAATGGTGTGTGTGTGTGTGTGTGTGTGTGAACCTTCCGGGGAACTAAAACTTTTTATGCCTTTTTTTAATTAAATGAAAATCAAGATCAAGTTATAAATCCTTGAAAGAACAGGGGTTTATAATGGAAATTTCAGCAGATTGCTTGCCAAAAACAATGCAGAAAGATGGTTTCACTTTAGTTGTGCATTTTCAATTGAGTATTTTTAACTAAACAGTATGTGAGGAATTGCCACATAGTTACCTTCTAACCCTAAAATACTAAGTCATTACCCTTGGGGGGGACACCATGTAAGGCACTGGACAAATTTTGAAGAATCCAGAAATCCTTCTTGCTAAAACATCCTTTGCATAAAATAGACTTGAACTAATGGGCTGATTTTTTTTTTTTTTAACATTTTCAGATAGCAAAATCACTCAATGGGAAGACCCAAGACTGCAGAACCCAGCCATCACTGGCCCGGTCAGTATTCTGAAACTCTGACCCTTCAGTATGAGCTTTTGATTTCATCTACATATGCATCTCTTGTGCGTGACCGATTACCGTGACGCCAGGGACGGGAGAGAATGAGTTGTTTAACATTCCTCTTCCTCACCAAAGTTTCCAGGTGGGGTCCAGCTCAGTGTGCCTTTTCRTGGGATGTTCATTGTGAAGGAAAAGAATATGGTTTGATTCATGGTAACAGAATGAAGTGTTGTTCATTCTCCTTTGTAAAAGGGTGGTTTAAAAGTATAACTAAAATTTTCTCCCTTTCTCCTTCTCTGATGCAAAGCCAGGCCTCTCTCTTGTAGAGCRTTGTCATTTCTTTAAGCCACAGTTAGTAAATATGCACTAATAAATTTACATCTCTTCCAACTTTAAACATCTGTAGGCGTTTGGATGAGGTGGTTGCTACCTTGGGGGAACTGGCAGTTGAGGATCTTTAATTCTGCTGACCCACTCACTTTCTCACAGCTGTGCCTGAATACGAATTTTGTGACTTTAATCTGATTCAGTTCAAATTATATTTTAAATGAAGATATGTCTATCTGAAAACTTCAGAGATGCTGCAGGGCCAATGTGCCCTGAGGACTGACATCCTCTGGCCGTTTGGTTTTGGTTTTGGTTTTGGTACTGGGGATTGAACTCAGGGGTGCTTTAACATCAAGCCACAACCCCAGCCCTTTTTATTTTTTGAGACAGTGTCTCTCTAAATTGAGTACAGCCTCACTAGTTGCTGTGGGTGACCTCTAGCTGGCAATCCTCCTGCCTCAGCCTCCTGAGTCACTGGGATTACAGGTATGAGCCACTGGATCTGACTCCTCTGACCTTTTTTTTTTTTTTTTTAATTCTTTCATTGAATTTGTTCAGCTATTTTGAATACTATTCCCTCTATAAAATGCCCCCCAATACAGTCAAATACTTTTTTCTCTCTATAGTCTAAAAAACACTGCCATGCTTTGATAGCTTCTTTTTTCATATTCACACTAAAATTGATTACTAGAATGGTGTTTCCCTTCTCCATTATTAAAAACAAGGCAAATTCAAGAAACAATGTTGTCTGCAATTGAAAGAAGATGGTTCACATGATGATGTTGAAGTTTTCACTATTTTTTTTACCACTTATCAGTCACCCACCTTCACTCAGAACACTACTTCTTTTTATTTATTAATTATCAGTGAAAAGTATTTAGCATTATAAATTCAGGTGCGTTTGCTCTATTTTTTCTGTTTCTGTTAATAAAGGAGACTTGCTTGCTTTTTTTATTGTTATTAGTGATACTGCTTTCAGTAGGAATATATGTATTTAGGCATTTGCCAATTTGGGGTAGATATTTGGCTCTACTATTCAGTTCTAAATATTGGGCAGTTTTCGTATGATTTTTCTCCTTGATTTTGTAAATATTTAGCATCTCCTTTTCAGCATGGATTAAAGGGGGGTTTTGCCTATGCACCTCTTATTTCCAGTTGTATTGCATTGTTAAGGGAATATTGTTAGGTATTTGAAACATAATGGAGGTCTGGTTTTCTTGTGTGTGAGTGTTCTTTTTGTGTTTTTAAGAAATATGTAGTGTCTTTCTGGATGTAGAGTTCTTGATGTGTGCATTAGGTCCAGGTTGTGATGTTTAAATTATCCAGATCCTTACTACCTTTTCCCTGATTGTCTGATCCACTCAAGATTTGTATCAAAATCTCCACAGTGATTGTTGCTGTGTGAGTTTTGTTGGTTTGTGTAATTACACTCACTTTCTCTCTTCCTTGGTGTTTGCATGGTGTATCTTTTCTATCTCTTGCAGTTTTTCTCCTCCTTTCTTGCCAAGTGATAAGAGTATAAACAAATTTCTTGGCCCACCATTGGCTCTTGTCTCCATTGTTTCCCAAGGTTTTCACGGAAGTGCACAGTGCACTTGTGGTTCTGAGTGTGTGGTCTGCAGGGCACAGGCCTCTTTTGGGAACTGTTTTTGAAATGCATGTTTTCAGGTCGCACTCCAGATCCATTGACTCAACAGCTTGGGGTGGACAGCAGTCTCTGTTTTATGGAGCTCTCAAGGTGAGAGTCTCTGCCCAGCAGCACCACCAGTGAGCTGGAGTGGGGACCTCTTGGTCTTCCACTCTGAATGTCTGGTTGGACCTCTTTCAAGGTGAAGTTCAGCTGGTGAAAGAATCGTCATTTAATTTCCTTCAGTACTTTGGAGACATTCTCGCTTGTCTTCTGGCTTCCATACTGATGGCAAGAAGTCTGTTGTCAACCTGTCATTTCTGTGTGGGTAAATAGCTCTGTTCTCTGGTGACTTTAAATTTTTTCTCTGTGCCTTTGGTGTCCTTGAATTTCACTATGATGTATGTATGTGTGGATTTCTCTCTGTTTATCCTGCTTTGGGCTCAAGATTTTTCAACACAGGGAATCATATCTGCTCTCTTCCAGAAAATTCTCAGCTGTTGTTTCTTCACATACTGTATGTTTTCATCCTCTGTAGATCTGTTGTTTGGGGCAGTACTGGGAATCGGGGTCTTGCTAAGTTGCTGAGGCTGACCTTATACTTGCGAGGCTCCTGCCTCAGCTTCCCGAGTGTGTGCCACCGCACCAAGCTCTGGGTCTGTTTTTGTAACTCCTGACTGGGCCTTTGGTTTTCTCGCATATTGTCTTTCTTGTCTCTTAACTTTCACATTCTCTCTTGCGCGCACTATCACTGCCATATTGTGAATTACGACTTGGTTCTACCAGTGAATTCTTTTTTAAAGTTTTTATAGAATCTATTCTTTATCTGCTCATTGTATCTATTATTTCAGTGACTGTTTACTTGCTCCGAGTTCTATTTAATGGTCTTTTAAATTTTGCTTTTTTAATTCATTCATCTCCTTTACCATTTTAAAAACACGTATTTAGTATGTCTTTTTGGGTTATTATATCTGGTCCTGAGGCATTAAATCTCCTACTCATTGTCTATATTCTCCTTAATGGTAGTTTATTTTGTGTATGGGGGAGGGGAGGTGTGTTTTCATCTTCATTTTCTTTCTAGGTGGCTTTTGTGAATCCTGACCTGTCTTTATAAAGTCAACTTGTTAGCCTGGGTTCATGCCACTCAATTAGGATAACTGAACCTCATAACAGGTTTGGAGTATGGGTTTATTACAGGCCTGTTTCTTTTGGTTTTTCTCCCATTTGTGGTCCCAGATAAGTTAGCCTCTTTCAGTGTCTCTTGGCCAATAGATACTTTTCTTTTCCCCACTAAGATGTTAGGGTCTAAACAGAGAACTCTGCTCTGGCACCCTGGAACATATAGACTGTTGACAAAATTGTGTGTCCCTGTGGGAAAAAGATGAACAACTAAACACACCTGTGTCTGGGTCCAGTGCCCCCTTGTTCCTCTGAGCCCTACTGCTGACTGGATGCCTATACCCTCTTTTTCCCCAAGTTTTCAGAATCTTAGCTCTGAATTGATCCAGCATTCATACACATTTGTCAGATGAGGAGAGACCCTTTCTGTGGTGGCTCAGTGTACAGCAGTTCTCAGAAGTTAGTATGTGCTCTCTCTGACGGATGCGTCAGGAGCGCCATTAAGTGCTGTCCATGCATGCTGCTAGAAGGAAGGCCAGCTCAAGGACTGTCAGCTGATTGGGAACTCCCAGCAACGTCCTCGGGGCAGGTGTTATCACCAGCTCACCAGAAGCTCAGAAAGCTAATCAAGTTGTTGCCAATTCCCACAATGTCAGAACAAAGCCTAGAGCCCCGGTGTTCCGGCATCACCAGTATCTACCTGCACAAGCCTTTTTGGTCCAGGATCACCCAGAATAGAATGACACAAAATATTTAGAACGGACCTACACAGTCAGCTAGGTTTCACACTACCAAGAAGAGAACATTTTCAAAGCAGAGCCCAAKGGCTAAATTCACAGGTATGTTAATTTTTCACATAGGTGTGTTTTACAAGTTATTTGCAAGAAAATGAGATGCCAGGTTTTCATGAGAGAACAAATCATTTGATGTGTCTGATGCAAGAAACATACATGTAATTCTCTTCAGAAGCTGCTGCGTATGGCCATCTCTGTCCTGGTATGCAGTTGGAATCTTTGCAGGAGATTTTTCCATCTTGAGAAATACCTTTGAGAGGAAGGACAGTTAGCACTGGAGGAGAATGATGTTTGTTCAACTTTCTTGTACCGTCCCCCAGAAGAAGAAAGACCAAAGACCAGAAATATCTCAGTTTCCTATTTCCACCCACACCTAGTCAGCACCTGCTGGTTACAAGGCAAGCATAAGAATGGATGTCACGGTGGGGGCCAACATTTTTGAAATCTGTTCCTTGGGAAATTTGTCACCTTTTAAATGCCATTGAGCTTTTCTGTAAACAGTGATGAATATTAAAGCTTTTTTTCAACATTTGGGAAGGGGGCAAAAAAAATAATAATTGCTGGGAATCAGACATTTAGAAATGAAAGAGCCCGAAGCTGCTCAACCATGAAGACGTTCCTTAGCAGAGAGGACATGTCACAGAACTGGCTGATAGCAGCATCTTCCTAAAATTCAGGTGGTCTATGCCTGTCCTTAGAGAATGGAAGGAAGTCACATCTTCAATTTAATTCCCCTCAGTCTCAGTCCTAGATGAAGGCATCAACCAAAGGCTTTCCCTCCTCAGGATTTGGTACTCGCTGTCACTGGCCTGTTCCCTTTGCTCAGAGGTCCCCCAGAGCTGCCCTTCCTGACCACCTCACACAGAACTGAACTCTGCACTGGATGGATGGTTGTTGTTCTCCCTCGTGATACCTGCATTTGTTGATCCTGATATTTCTCACTGCCTGTCGGCCCCAACAGCTTGTTAGCCTCCAGTTAACTGGGAACTGGAAAAGGACCTTTTTCATTATGTACCATTATTCCCTTCACACTTAAAATGCCTTGCACACCTTGCATAGAGTCGGGCTCAGGAAATGTCTGTTGAACAAATGAACCAAAAAGTGATACATASACTTTAATTGGTGATGGAGTATGGTATTGGTAGAGCAGAGAAAACAATGTCTTTGTTAGCATAAGAACGTTGTATCCTCATCTGTACATGGATGGTTGTCCACGTAATTGACAAGAGTCAGGATTCATACCTGAAGGCTGAGGACGTGGCTCAGCATAGACACTCGCCTAACATGCATGAACCCCTGCATTTAATCCCAGCACCACCACCCTCATCCACACACGAGGAGAAAACACATGATTTCCTCAGATTAAACATTGCCAGAACACATGGGATGTATGGTCGGCTCTCCTGATAGTGGAAAACTCAAATGAAGTGTATGGGCCTGAAAACTTAGGACAGGCCCTAGGCAGTATGACTCTTCTCTAGAATGTTCTTAAGGTATATATGTATGATGGCTTCATTGCTCTTGAATTCAAAACAAATGACATGAACATTTTCCATAGGGAATGATATTTGTTTTTGTTTCATGAATTATTTGTTTAATCTTATGAAACGGAGGGTGAAGGACAGAAGCATTTGCTCTTTGTTTTCTCTCTTTATGGTCAAGAATAAGTATGACAAAAGGTTCAGGGGTGTAGTCTGGAGACATTTTCCTGAGAATTGGTATATTTTATTAATTTAGCCTTAAATGATACCAGCATAAGTATTTGCTTCCTAGAGTTATACTGTTCATTAAAAAGCAGTGAGTTTCCTCTTGTGAGGTGGGTGCTAGTGTCTCTGTGTATATGCAGAAGACAGTCCGTTCTGCTTCATTTAAACAAAAAAACTAGGAGCCTTTTCAATAGCCTAGTCAGGCTCTGTAAATGGTACATAAAAATGTTATTACTCTTCCTGAAGAGACACCAGAACTTTTGAATAGTTTCAGCTGACTCGGATGTTAGCCCACCCCTGTGGGGCCATCCCTGTGCTTCATAGAGAAGGCATTTGAGGTTGACAGAAATCCTCATGCAGGAACCCTGAGTAGGGGGCACCCCTGGTGACTCCTCTGTGGAGGTCTTCCCAGAGCGCCATCTGCCCACTGCGTTCCTCGCCAAGGGTGTTAATTCACTTTTCTTTCTACCCGTGGTATTTCCCCCAGAGGTTTTAAAAGCATGAATCGACTTTTTCAAAATGCCCAGTATAGGTCTTTTTTGAGTTGTGTGTTAAAACATCAAGAACAATAACTCTTAACAGGGGAAATATGTATTTATATCCCAGTGGCTTGAGAGGCTGAGGCAAGAGGATGGAAAGTTCAAAGCCAGCCTCAGAAAAAGCGAGGTGCCAAGCAGCTCAGTGAGACCCTGTCTCTAAATAAAATACAAAATAGAGCTAGGGAAGTGGCTCAGTGGTTGAGTGCCCCAGAGTTCAATCCTCCATACCCCCAAAATATATATATGCACATATATTTGTATGTCTATATTTTAGAGTCTGATGAAAATCACATAGAAAGCATATTTAGTTTGTGCAGCACACCCTAAGTGATTTCTTCAGTGCGAAGACAAATGTTTTCGGGGGTGAAAGCCCCATTCTGTGCCGATTAGTCCTAAGACTTTCCCATGTGCTGCGTCGACATTATGTAAATGTGCTATGAAAAATATGGGAAGTAAGTATTTAAGGTTTATGATTCATGAAACTCCCTGAATGTTGGCTCGGTGTACATAAATTTCAAGCAAATTGTTTGCATTGTCTATATTTATAAATTTATCTTCCAGGCTGTTCCATACTCCAGAGAATTTAAGCAGAAATATGACTACTTTAGGAAGAAATTAAAGAAACCCGTGAGTAATCTTCTCAAAATGCTGTGTTTGGGTCGTCTGTGAGCTGCCAGAGTTACTCAGAACACCCCATTTGTTGCTTTTACATGGATACTAAAAATATTACCTTCCCTTTTTTACTGCACTTTGATCCACCTGGATCTTCAATCTGAATTTTCTTTTTAACAGAAATGGTAAGTGGAAATTGACTCAGTATTACATATCAAATCACCTGATGGGTAATTTCTTATGTAATACCTAAAAAGATAGAAATTACTTTTGTGGGATATAAAATAATTCATGACTGCAGTCACAAAATCTGGGGAAGCCCATACAGTTGCATATGGTTGTCATATTTTAGACAATCTACATCCAGGCTTTAAAAGTGTTCAAGTCCTTCGCTTTAAATTAAGAAGTATAGTTTTAACTACTAACATTTATAAATTATGTAACAAATAATTATAATACTTGGCAGCCTTAGTGTAATTTTTTTTATTGCAATTCTCGGTGGCAATTCACCACCCAGAAACCCTGTAAGGTTTTTACAGGCGGTGCTGCAAATTACAGTGTTACTTACCACTGATCCATCACCCCCAAGTCCTTCCACATGTGCCTCTTGTGCTACTTCTGATGGGACTACTCCAGTTTCAGTCTTTCAGTCATGACATCACTGGGAAAGGAGAGTCCACTAATTGCCCAGCTCACATGGTTTGAAAGGTCTATCCTCCACTCCCTGGGCATGCTCCCAGGTGATGCCTGGAGTTCTGGGCATCCGCTGGGATGAGGCACAGATGGCCTTGTCCTCGCTGTGTCCCGGATCACTCCATCTGTGGTTCAAGTGCCTCACTGATAACTACTTTCCAAATGACTCTCAGTTCTTCAGGGCTCACATGAGAACACGTGTCCTCCAGTATCAGAAATGACTTGGTGGCTTTGGCTCAGTCTCACATTTGCACGGCTGTGCTCTGCTCAGCCCCATTCTTAGGGCAAGGCCAGCCCTGGACCTCATTCTTCTAGGRGGTGGTTCTCTCAGCCCAAACTTTGGCAGAATCGGGGTCGCACTCCCCATGACAAATGAACTCGGRGGCCTCGTGGGTCATATTTACCACCTGTGGTCCCTGTCAGATATGCAAATGGTCCGAGCCTGGCCAGGTGGGGATTATTTGTAGGTTTGGATGACCTGTCCTTGATTGAAACCATACATGGAGCTGGCCATTCACTTGCTAGTATTGGAGAAGTGCCCGCACTGTTTGTCCAGGGGCAAGGATGATTTCCTTGTGCTCAGCAGGTTTTCTTCTGCAGCGTCATGGCTGACTCAGCTGCCATATTGACACAGTGAGGATTTTGTCTGTGGGAGAGGGAATCCATAAAGGAGAAAATCTCAGTTGGAACCACTTGTCCCTGCACATTTATTTGAAGCCTGCCATCACTCTACCTTTTTTTTTTTTCCCCTGAGAAAGCAAGGTACATATTTACTATATTGTCCTGAGCTGCTTCTTTTTTCTTTTGTGTAGGCTGATATTCCAAACAGGTTTGAAATGAAACTACACAGAAATAACATATTTGAAGAATCCTACCGGAGAATCATGTCTGTAAAAAGACCYGATGTCCTAAAAGCTAGACTGTGGATTGAATTTGAATCCGAGAAAGGTCTAGACTATGGGGGCGTGGCCAGAGAATGGTTCTTCTTGCTGTCCAARGAGATGTTCAACCCCTACTACGGYCTCTTTGAGTACTCTGCAACGTAAGTATGGAGTCCATTCAGAATGTGGGTCCCACAGAAATGGTTTTATCCTTAATTTAAACTCAATGGGACAATCAATTAATCACTCATTTGAAATGAATCAATGCCCAGTTCCATCCCTCCTCATCCCGCCATCTCCYGCAAGTCTGGAACAGGCTCTCACTCTACCTGGTGAAATAATGTACTCCATGAACACCTAAAGTTGGATTCTTCTCTTGTCTGTTGGGTTCCTGGAATTGAARTTGAAAATGTGTTGGGTAATTATGGTAAGGAACAAGAGGCAATTTTCATTTGTAATGTTCCTTTATGTCAAGAGGAGAATTCATCAGAGTCAGAATTCAGAAAGCGTCATTACATGAACGAGAACAGTCTCTGAAGTCACACTTATAAAGGCAAATTATGAAGACTTTGAGAACTCATGCTTGGAACACGAAAGGACCCTACCCTGGTCCTGTAAGGGAAGAACCAGGCTGCCCCTTGCATTAGGATTTCGTCTCTGCCAGGCATGGAAAACTGAGACAGATTGAATTGCTTTCTCAACACACGTTGGCGACTAGCAAGGCCAACCATTTCTCYCCAGGCTGAGGAACCTTGAAAGTCRAAGGCTGACCTCAGCGACCAGGAGAATGGTCRTGGCCCTTTCCAAGAGGCATTGAGCATCGGTCCTGGGCTTTTAGGAGGACATGTGTTTCTGCTGATGCTTCCCAGGCCACCTGTCTCTTAGGAGCTCATTTAGAAGACAACCTCAGTACATCCTTCTTGGTGGATCTAGCCAAGAATTGCCCAGTGGTGATGGTGGTGGTTACTGAGTCCTTGAAAAAGCCCATTGTGTAATTGATGGAAACCACTGAAGTGGAGGGCAGGATAGGAGGCAAGATCCTCACCTCTCACCCATATGCTCTAAGATGCACCCTGGAGGAACCTGTCCACGAAGTCCAGTTTGAAAAGCACTGATCCTCCTCATCGTGAGATCAAAGCAGGACCCTTGGGTGCATACAGGCATCTTGAGGCTTGCCTTGTTGAGTTACCTGGGTCCTGCCTGGTGCTCTTGAGGGCTTTTCAGGACAGAGTGATGGGTATATTAACCAAGTGAGTCCTACAGGGGAAAAAATCTTAGCCTCTGGAATAAGTTGGCCTCTGTCATGGAGAGGATCTGAAGGGCAGGTGCTGTAGGAGCCCCTGCTCAGCCCCTTCATCATGCAGCCCATCTCATGTTCCCCAGATGCTTGCTGACATTGTTATGGACCCCACGTAGGCAAACAGCAGCTTCTGAAGGTCTCTCTCACTGTGCCTGGCTTGAGTGTCTACGGGAGCAGGCCTTGGCAGCTGGGCCCAGAGGMGGCTGCCTGGATGCTGAGTCCCAGCTTCCTATCACACCTTTTCCCACCAGGTGCAGGACATTTGCCAGAGCACCGCAGGAGCCGACTGACAGATGGCAAAGAAAAATTCAGCTTCCTGGGTTTCTTGTTTAAAATTATGACTGGGCCTTACTTCTCTCTTTTCTTCTCCCAAAGGGACAATTACACACTGCAGATCAATCCCAATTCGGGCCTCTGTAACGAAGATCATTTGTCCTACTTCACTTTTATTGGAAGAGTTGCTGGTCTGGCAGTATTTCATGGGAAACTCTTAGATGGTAAGTGATTTAGAAATCTTGAAGCCGTAAGAACAGGACCATTACTGTCCATGCTTCTTCTTAGGTTCTTTCACATCACAGATTATAAGTAAAAGCTTCACTGTTTCTCGTTAATGCGGTGAATAATTCTTATATTTCACCCATAACGGTGATCTTTTTCCTGGTGTCATCTTGGGTACTGAAGACAGAGTGACTCTGGACAGCTTTAAAAAATATTTTTTAATTTAATTGTGAAGCACAGAACATTCTGTATTCATGCATTTTGTATGTTTGCCAGAATAAGTTTTCTTTAGTGAGAGCTAGATCTGRTGACAGATGGAAAAACTAATTGAAAAGTTAATTAAAATGATCTAATCCATCAATATCCTGCCATTGTTCCATTTGTCCCCAGAATTATTTTTTTAACGTGAAAAGACTAAATAATTCCAAAGTAATATTATAACCCCAGAGTCCCTGCTGAGACAGATGACACAAAATCACTTCATCCTATTTACAGATGTAAACCACAGGAGAATTTCAAAAGACCTTAGAGAAGTTACAGGTCAGACCCCCTGCCGGGCTATGGCTTATCATACAGATTTCAAAAGTCATTTCAAAAGTGCYCCTAAGAGGCCACTGTAGAAATCGTCAGTGAGGAGACATCAGAAATATTTTTTTTAAGAACGTGAGTGTGAAATGTTTGAAAATGAAAGACATTAAGATTAGAGATTGACATTTCAGTTACTGTCGAGAGAGCTATTTCCAGGGGAATTATGTTAATTGCATTCCAATAAATAATTGATCTATTTTATGATGTTTTTACTGTTAATTGCTAACTGATTTTGATCCTGACTTCAGTGAACTCCTATTTTAACGAGGAAAAAAAAATCAAAAGCAGAAAAATCACAATGATAGCATGTAGGCAAAAGGGGTGCAGGGCAGGGTGGCGTGGGGCACACTGAGTGCTCAGAGGAGAAACGAACCAGCTGGGAGTACTTTACCTTGGGGCTTTGTCACATGTGAGCATCAAACMCTGGGGTTGTGTCAGAAGAGCTTGGGTTGGCCAGGAGCAAAGCTCTGTGGCAGGATAATGGAGGGAGGCCATACAGGCAGGGAACTGAGCCACTGCTGAGTGGTCCCTGCCAGTGGGTCACAGCTTACATCAGTGACAGCCACAGAGCCCACAGCTGTGCATGATCATCAGGTCTTCAGTTTCTTAAAAAGGCAAATGCCTATCAGCAGAGCATCCTCTGCACATGTGTCTACTGCCCCTGCCCTGGGCTTTGTCCTTTCACCTGACCAAAGTATCCCGGAGTCTGCAACCCTAAGTCCGTGCCAAGCCAGAGGCACATGGGCCCGTGCTGCAGGCACTGGGGTGCGGGTGAATCAAGAAGGCAGCGTGTGATGCTCCCTCCTTTGTGGAGGTTCCTGCTGGGGGATGTCCAAGTGGAGGAAGAGTCACCCTCTCTGCCATGACCTCCCTGAAGTCCCTGTCCTTGACACTGTAGGGAATGGTGTGCAGACCCAGCCTCCCTCTCCTCTCATGTTTCCTCCGGTTGCTGCCCGAGCAATCATACTGAAAGACCTGGGGTTTTCCTGGATTTTCAGTGACTTTTCACTGCTCTGGAGATTAGCCCTTCCCTCCAGCCCCACACAAGCTCTACCCGCCCAGCCCCTTCTCTGGCCTGGGACACCGTGCGTTTCCACCCTGACCAATAGCCAACGTGTCCCCAGTTGGTTCCTCTGTCAGGTGCCTCATTTGCACGCGCACTCCTGCTTGACTTGGGGCTCACTGGTGGCCTCTGGAAGCCATTTCAGCCCTCTCTTACACCATGCCTGTTGGGACAGCCACCTTCTTCCCCCTAGGCCCCCCTTTCCAGGTCCTCCCCTACTGGTTCTTGGTTACTCTAGAAGGTTCCTGATCATTCTGTCCTGGTTTCATTCAACTGGAAAACGGGTTWATCTTTTACTTCATGCTCTGTTGTACAATGGCCTCAAGGACTTGAAAATAAACCCGTTTTTTGCCATATTTTAGGTTTCTTCATTCGACCATTTTACAAGATGATGCTGGGAAAGCAGATAACTCTGAATGACATGGAATCTGTGGTGAGTAGACACAGACCATCATGGAGCTCTATGGATGAGTGTTGGAGACCGTGTTCAAACTCAGTGATTGCTGTGGGTGTTGTTCAGTGTGAACAACAGGGAGTGAAATTAATTCATTAATCTCCCTAATTTTTGTAAGAAGCGAATCACTATTCAGTTTTCCTGGGGTCATGGTACTTAGGATAGATACACCAAAGTCCAGTTACCCCCATTTACCCAGCACAGGACTTGTGCAAACAAATTACATTTAAGAGGTATCTGGAGACCTCACTRTAGCCTGTCTTCCATCCTGCGAGTGCAGAGTGCCTAGAGATTCCTCCCTGTCCTCTGTTCCTTGACCTCAGAATCATGGCAGTGTAAGGCCAGGACTAGAGGAAGAGTATGCAGTTGTGCTAGCTGTGGAAGATGAGTGCCCACGCAGAATGGGAGAGTCAGGGTGAGGGCCTCCCGAGGGTGGTCTGGGTTTTCACTTTGCACTGAACTCGCTAATCTTGCTGGAACTGGCCATGTTAGAATAGATAGGATTTTCTACAAAAGCCAACGCCAACTTTGTTTTCATAGTATACTCATGTTTCTGTTTTTCTCTCAATTTACCTGTACCCACTTTCTACCTCTGGAGTGTCCRGGTRTTTGTCCGTGTGCCAATACAGGCAYRGGGCCATCAGGATGCATCTTTTATTCACATGGGGTATTTGAAACTTTGCCCGAGTTAGAAATTCGACCTTCTTCAGTCTTTTGTTTTTCTTTCAATTATTTATTTTACTTGTCGATGGACCTTTATTTTATATATTTTTTTCATATGTGATGCTGTCACTTGAACCCAGTGCCTCTCRCATGCTAGGCATGTGCTCTACCACTGAGCCACAACACCAGCCCTTTTATTTTTTACATCATGGACCTCCCTCAGTCTTGCTGGTGGGTGTAGTGACTGTCCCCTCTACTCCTTGGTACATGAGCCGTGTCCTTGATGCTGACCAGGACTGAGCAGCTGCTGCTTCTCTCACAGTAGGAAAGGAGAGAAGGCCTTGGCCCCTGCTGCATGCTGTCAGGACTGGGCTGGGGACACAGCCTTAGGTGCCATCTCACTTCTCCTTGTAGTCTTTGCCTTTGCTTATGATCTCACCTTGTGTTATTGCTGTATTAAAAAGAAGCAAGGGACATAGAAATTGCTCTTAAAGTCTAATTTTGAACTCTGTGGTGACAGTGTTTTAGATRCAGTGTGCATATTATCTTGGCCTTTTCAGAGCCTGGTTGTCCCCAGCAGTAGAGACCTTGGGCCTGAGCAGAGTAGAGCTGGTGGCCCGTGGCGCTCCTAACATTTCTGAAATCAGAGTCACCTCCCTTTTTGCTTTAATTAACTTGCAGAGATCCATGAAAGCACAGGAAGGGATGGAATCTGTAAAACCAGTGTTCAGTTAGAACCATCTCTGTCCTGCCCATTTTCCTCTGTCTTCACTCTTAAAAGCTGGGGAGTGTATTGCTCTGTGCATGTTGAGTTCTGTAGACCTGGGCAGTCCAGCTGCTCTGACCACCCTCTGCAGTGGGCATCCTCTACCCATTTCACAGAGGACAGGAGCCAACTACAAACTCCTGTTAACCCTCGAAGTTTTGTTCCCCTTTAATTTAAAAGGGGAGGGTGGGTTGGAATGGGGCAGGCACCATCACATTAGTGAACAGTGTAAATTCTTGAGCGTGGAGTTATATTAAAAGGACTTGAATGGAGTCAGATGAGTTTGTGTTTTTAATTGTATACTTTCTGTGTCATTGCTGTAGGATAGTGAATACTACAACTCTTTGAAGTGGATCTTAGAAAATGATCCTACTGAACTGGACCTCATGTTCTGCATCGATGAAGAGAACTTTGGGCAGGTACGTCGGGGAGACACCAGGAGCCCTTTGGCTTTCAAAGAACATTGTCTCTTTCATAGGCTCTATCGCTGCTTTCCTGGACAGTGAAGAAGGGCCACCCAGAGCTCAGGTGTTCATTATCACCTCCCTGTGGCAGCACCTGCCTGTTGTCCCAGGAAGCCAAGTCCTGGTTACGGCCCCTTCTCTTCCCCACAAAGTTAGACATTCAAGAGACCTCCAGGGTATGCATCAGCCTCTCTGTGCTCCAAAGCCAATCCTGGGTCTTAGCATGGAGGTATTCAGTGATCGTGTGATCGATTTACTGCGAGGTAAACACATGCTGAGGGCACAGGGTTTTTTCTCTGCTTTGCAGTTCTGTTATCCTGCTGGAATTTGTCTGTGGGCTTGGGTTTGTCTTCTGTTCTTCTTGCTGTGCTCCCATGGGGCCATCAGGCTGGATTCATCATAAAAGTCACTTCAAAGACACAGCTGCCTGCTTGGGGTCTTCAGCACCGTCCTGGGGCCTGCAGGGTGTGTTTGTCTGAAACCTGAAAGCGTCAACTTGGGACTTGGTTGTTGTCCAGTAATGATGCTTCCCTGGGATCGGGGCGGGGGACTTCAGGTGTCATCTGCTCCTGACCAAAGCCCAGAGAGATTTCCCATCTCCAGGACCAAAACTGCATGGCCTTGAAATTAATTAGGTCATGGAGCCCATTTTCAGGGTTGCCATATGGAAAACGAAATATTTATTCTTTTATGCCTCAGAGATTATTGAAAGTGAACTAACCCCGYGACACTTCTTGTTTAAGCTGTCCCTATTTAAGAGTCTTAACTGCCCATTTTCAAGACCAGCCTCAGCAACTTGGTGAGACCCTGTCTCAAAAAGGGMTGGGGGTATTACTCAGTGGTTAAGCACCTCTGGATTCAATCCCCAGTACCSRTCCCCCAAAAGAGTARCACATAGATGGTTTTCCTAGATCACTGTATATCTTCATTTTTAACAAATGAAGGAAAGGATGGCACCAAAGACAAAATGAATCTTGTGTGTCACATGCATACGAGTRCCTCTTTGTGTATTCTCAAGAGAAAAACACATAAACCCGCGTACGCAGAGTAGTTCAGAAAACTGTTAGCCGTGTCAGTGGTTGAAGTAAACGAGCTGGGAAACTTTCTTCAGTTGTAGTTGGATGTAACTATTTCTATTTAATAAGTGAAAATTAAACAGAGGATGTTGTATTTTTAAGTAGACTTCAGATAGAGATTCTGTTTATCATTATACTTGATGCTAATTGTTCACTATAAACAACCGAACCACCTCCTTTAATGCYATGGGGTCTTTTGACTTTGGGTAGAATCGGGTAGAGAGACGCAGTCAGCACAGACCCAGGAGATGATCAGGTGCTCAGTTTGTCAGATTATTGCCTTCCCCTTTCAGAGAGCTAACCTGATGAACAAGGGGTTCGTGTACCTACTTTCCATTCTGGGCAGGAATTTAGAATGAATTAAGCTGCCAGGTATTGGTCTCTCTTTCTCTATTCAGCCCACACAGAGCCCTGCTCATGGCTCCTCCCAGAGATGCCTCCCATCTGTTCCCTGTCTCTACACCACTAACCCCCAAGTCCAAGCGGCTGTCTTCCCAGAGACTCCTTGCCAGTCTCTCTCTACTTTGGCTTCTCATAATGGTGCAGTGGTCTTTCCAGAATGTAAAACCATCATGCTGTTTCCCTGCCAGAATCCTTCAGGGCTTTCCCAGTGCCTCGAGGTAAAGCTCCAGGTCTGCCCTTTGTCCCGTGAGGCCCTGTGTGGGTGGCCTGCTCCTCCCCCAGAGGAGTACCGCGGACCTGCTGCTCACACTTTCTGGGTCAGCCCCACTGGCAGCCTGGAGCCCACTCAGCTGCTTCCTGCCTCAGGACTTGCTCATGCTCTTCCTTCTGCTGGGAACATCTCCTTCCCACTCTCGGGGCAGACATCCCTTCTCTGGAAAGCTAGCTCTTGACCACAGGCCATGTACGTCAGAGGATCTTCGTGTTGTCCTAATGGTGCGAACCACAGTGAACTTTGCGTTTCTTTGAGTATGTGTGTGACATCTGTCTCTGCCAGACTTCCTCTTGGTGACGGCAGCTAGTGCTGCCTCTCTGGCACACTTGCCATTAGCTTGGTGCCTGGCACATGGTAGACACTCACACGTCAGTTGTTGAAGCAAAACTGCAGGCACTGGCAAGACATCTGTCCAAGCCTCTTGCCTCTTTCCACCCTCTGCAGAACTGGTGGCCAGGCACTGCAGTTGATCTAACATGAAGAGGTCCATTCCTTGCAGATACCAAAAGAAAAGTCATGTTCTCCGTGGAGTGGAGGGAATGCAGTTGCCATAGTGAAACAGAGACACAGTCAGCCTTCCACCGGGTTCTGAGCTGTTCCCTTTCTCATTTCACAATCAGCAGTGTCAGACCATGAAGTCTGGTAGCTGTTGATCCGCGTAACAGAGCTGCAGCTGTTGTCATTGTTGTGCAGGTTGTTTTCTTTCTGGCTGATGAGAATCTGGAGCTGCTGATTTCTGGGGCCTATTGTGTTTCCACTGGAGAACTTTCGGTATCTGAGTGGTTGTCAGACACTAAGCAAGAAGACTAACCATGCACCCAAGACTCAGACATGCACACGTGCACATGTTATCATGCTTTGTTGTGCACTGGCAAAGCAGATCCATGTGGCGCTTTGGAGAGGCTCTGGGGCATGGGTCTTCAAGGAGCTGGGCAGGAGGCAGGGGGCAGCAATTTCTCCCCAGCCTGTCAGGTGAAGTCATGCTCTCTCAACAGGGTGATTGCCCCAACTGCTCCTTGGAGACCGAGGCAGAAGGATTGCAAGTTCAAGGCAAGACCCTGTCTCAAAATAAAATTTTAAAAGGGCTGGGGATGTATGGTGGAGTTCTTGCATAGCCTAGCAGGTACAAGGCCCTGGGCTCAGTCCCCAGCACCACACACACACACTCACACACACACTCACACACACACACACACACACACTCACACATACACACACACACACACACACACACGAGGTGGGGGGATCAGAAAAGGAAGAAAAATTGGTCATCTCAGATGCTGCAAGGGCTCATGGCCACCCCAGGGTCTGTAGCATGTAGCACAGGTGTGCCTTAGATCCACGTATTCAGATGTCACGGACATAGGTAAGTCATCCAGGTGGGGATTGTGATGAAGTAAAGGTTGAGAATACTGGGTTGGCAGAAGGGAGCTAGTGAAAAGATCAAAATGAGGAATGTGAGGTGGAGGAAGGGGATGGCAGAGCCAGGAAGACCCAGAGTCTGGAGTGGTGCTCTTAATATCAGGTCAGTCAAGGGACAGACAGATGCAGCTGAGGAAATTTGAAGTCAGGCAGGAGGTGACACAGAGACCTCAGTGTCTGTCCGCTGGGGGAGCATAGGGAGGGTGAGGTAGGCCTGGCCAGGGATGGCAGGGCTGTGGGCTCGGACTGCCCCCGAGGCTGCGTCCTGCAGGGCTGTACACACCGCAGRGAGCCAAGTCTAGCACTCAGCACCCAGGGATGGAATCTTAGAAGCACTCAGACTTCACTCTGCCCAAGTCCAACAGCTCAATAGGATCCAAACTGTCAGCTAAGGGGGTGTCTACTTCTATGAGGGTTACACATCATCTCGTTGTTTCCTCTGATCTTTTATATTTTTTGTGGTGCTGGGGATCAAACTGAGGCTTGCATCTGTAAGGCAAGTACTCTACCATACATCCCCAACCCTTTTTATATATTTTTTTATTATTTTTACTTTTATTTTGAAACAGATACTCACCAAGTTGCCTAGGCTGGCCTCAAACTTRTGATCCTTCTGCCTCCGCCTGCCAGGTAGCTGGGGTTATAGGTGTGCACCATCAGGCTTGGTTCTTCTGGTCTTTCAGACCAGAATTCCTTTTTGGCTTGGGCTAAGGGGCAGTCAAATGTGAGACAAAGGGTTTGACCTCAGTGAGTTGCCTGCAGTGAGCTGGGAGAAGAGGTGCACGTTCCTGAGTCATGCAGGGTGCTGCTTGGGAGGCAGCAGAGAGGTACCCCCATGTCTGTGGCTGACCCTCTCATTCACTAGCACCCTGGAATTCACAACTCCAGAGGCCTCCTGGGGGCCCTGTAAGCAGAGCAAGGGAAGGGTGAGTCCTGAAGGAGTGTTAGCCCAGGGATTGTGGGTGTTATTTACACTCCCTGCCTAGACTGTTCCAGAGCTGGGGAAGAGTCTCTCTCGGGAGAGCTGAGCTGCCCTGAAAGCCTGCCCTGTATCAAGTGGTGGGCTTGGATTATTAACCTGTCAGTGGTGTGGGTCTGGTAGAAAACCTCCATTCCTGAAGGGAACAGCAGGCAACCTTAGAGGGGGACTAAATGGAGGAAAAGGAAAAATCAATATGACACTAAAAACGAGTACAGAAGGTATAAATGAACACTGTCCACAGATCTTAAAAAAAAAAAAAAAAACCTGGAAATGTTTTCCAGGAAATATGCCTACACCATTGTCCAGGTGAGAAATGGCGTCCTCCCCAGGGCAGGAGCTGGAGGACGGCAGCAGGAAAGGAAGGTGGAGCCATTGGAAGGGTTTGCGGAAAATGAACAGAGTTAGAATCTGCATCAGGCCAAAAGTTGAATTCACTGTAGAAAATGGAATTCAGTCATGTGGTGGAAAAGTGAGATCCCTTCCCAGAGGAAGAGGGAAAAGGAAAAAAAAATACAATGATGGATGCGATTGACGTTGCCACCGCCGTGTGAACAGGAGTGAAAATTGAGACAGAAAAGACTGGGAGACAAGACTGGGTGTGCAGGGCAGGGTGGGAAGATGGCTGGAGCAAAGATCCGTGTACACACCGGAGTCCTGTCCCTCTTATGGCTAGAACTCGGATACCTGCTATGGAAAGCTTCCCGCAGGCTTGATGACTCTGTAATACAGCTGGGTGGGTGGAGAAGGAGACTCCAAGGGATCCCCCGGAAATATCCTTGTGGCTGTCTTTTAGCAGGGGAGTTGGTGGGGGTAAGTTTTTTTCCACCTTTTTTGTTTGAAAATTCCTCCAGTGAGAATGAACATTTTATTTTTAAATGAAAGGCGTCTCCCTCTCTTCTCTTGTGCTAGGTCTTGCATCATATGTACTGACATGAAGCCAGGGCTGGGTCAACACCGATTAGAAACGGGATGGCTTGATGTCAACAGCTTTGTTCCCTCAGCCAGGGTTGCTCTGAGGGAGAGCACCGTGGGGCAGAGAGCAAGAAGTGTCCTAGTGCAAATAACTGTCTGCAGCCTGGCTTTTCAAGCTGCTTTCTTCCCTGTGTTCTTATTTTAAAGTCCCTGTCTTTTGCCTCTTTGCAATAAATTCCATGCATCCTCTTTTATGACTATAAAAATCTAATTTCTAGAAACAGAATGCATTAGGATTTGGATCTCTCTGGTTTTGATGCATGCACTCTGTCCTTTTTTCTTTTCAACATAATTAATTTCTCAATGAATAGCAGATGAACAATGTTGCTCTTCTCCATTGTTGCTAATGTATGAAGGATAATTAAAACCATAAAATAATTTGCCATTAATGACAACGTCTTTAACTGTGTAACGTCTCAGCAGTTTCAAAGCCTCATTAGACATTCTCATACACACAGAGCCCATTTTCTGGGAAATATTTTTGAATAATTTTTTTCTTTTATAGCAAAATATTACTTAATACACAAAATAACTTCATTATGGTGATTGTTGTTCTTTCTTTGATTACAGACATACCAAGTGGATTTGAAGCCCAATGGGTCCGAGATAATGGTAACAAATGAAAACAAAAGGGAATATATTGAGTACGTATACACACATTTACAAATATTTCTGGTAACAAATTGAAGAACATAGTTGGTTGACATCTTCTGCCAAAGCAGCTCATGTGTGTTCAGTGGTCTTTAGTCACTTTGTACAATGTGAGCTCCTTTGACCTGGGCTGGTTGAATGTGGGATGTTGAATATGGAAAGGAGATTTTTGTCTTGTGACTTCAGTGAGCTCTGCTATCAAGGAGAGGGCAGGGAGAAAGGGTGTAATTGTTGAGAGATATGACAAATATCTTTTTTTTTTTTTGGAGTATCTGGGTATCATCTAAAATTTAGAATTGCAACAGTGGAACCCAGTGGCAGGAACTAATTAGGTAAAATAAGCAACTACCAGAGATAAAATATTTTCTCTCTTGGTTTCTTTTTCAAAATGAAAACTTAGGAAAATAATTAGAATGGATTAGGAAGAATTTCACATGCATAAGCATAATGAAACGCTTCTAATATTTGTAATATTCTTAACCTAGTCTCTCTGGTTTGGTAGAATAATGTTAAATTCTCTTGGAAGTCCAGCTCTTAAGCAGTCCTAGGTCATTTGTATGAGGCAGAAGGTCTTTTGGTTGGGTATGTTACATTGTCATTTTGGGTATCACTGTGTGGTTCAAACACACCATTCTGGGCTCTTCCAAGGATCTCCAGGCTGCCAGGTGCAGGGATGAGGTCAGTGCAGCAGCATTTGGTTCTGGGGCCCTAGTTTCCACCATCTGTGGGTCACAGCAGTGGCCTGAGTTTGTTTTGTGTACAGCACTCCTGTGTTTCAACAAGCTGGTGCCTTCCATTCTTCTCACCTGAAGTTGATCAAGGGGCTTGCATGGAAACCATGGTCTGAGGGTCTCAGCATCTTTAACTATGATCTGCAAAGAAAACCTGTGCTTCCTGATTAGGAAGAAATAGTGTTGCAGTCTCTACTAGGAAACCCAGAGAAGAGAACCATCCCACAACAGGCTTCTCTACTCTCAAGCTGAAACCTTGTTGTGCTTAATAAACTAGATGCAACAGCTCTTCCCTGTCCCCATTAATTGGCATACTTGTTCTGATCTTAGACAGTTTTAGCGGGTAACACCATTGTCTTCCTTGGGAAAGTACAGATGGTGAATAGTTTTTTAAAAATGCTCCAGCCCAGGACACTAAGACCTGAAGTTTGAGGAGTCTGATGTGTGTGTGTGTGTGTGGTGCATCACTCTTGGCAGATAATTATCCTGGGGTTCAAATGTGGTGAGAGCCAGGGCTCGGCCAGGGTTTCAGCTAGCTTCACTGGGGGGGGGGGGGGGGGGGGGGGGGGGGAGTACAATGGAAATCTGTAACTGCTCCCTGGCCCTGCTCTCTGGTACTAAAAGGTGGTGTTGGGCTGATGACTGGCTGCAGCCCAGTTTTATAAGCAGTGACTGAGCATGGGATATGCAGGCTGCTCCTCAGGGGCCATTGCTGTGTGTTACCAGCCCTGTGTGAGGACAAAATGTCTTTAATGAAATCCAGAGTGGATTTGCTTTGTGATCAGTTCTGCCCAGAACACTGTCGCAGGGAAAATGGTTTAAAAAAATTTCAGTTACTTTGAGAGTCTTCCAGTTCCTCCTCCAAATTTTGGTATTAGAGGATTGGTGCACATGATAATGTACTCCCTCTACAAAAAGCACATCTATATTTATGCACGTGGGTGTGTGGATGTGTGTGTATGGTACACACATACCTATGTGCTTGTCCCTCATGATCTTTTCTCCCTTCTTCACATATCGGTGACATTTGATTTGATCAAGTAAGGTGTGGTGGGGGTGGGGGTCGGTTATGCTTTGGAAATCCTCAGTGGGATCTTATATTCCTCATGAGTATCTCAGTGCTTCTTGAACAGATTCCTGAATCAACAGTGGGTGCACAACAGCAGACCCCTTTTGCCCCACTGTTACAGGGGTTTCTGTCCCTTTCCCTGCCTAAGGAGCAACAGTCCCCATTGTAAAACAGCAGCGAACACTGGCCATTAGGGAGGTGGCTGAGCATGTGCCCTTTTCTTTGCAGCTTAGTCATCCAGTGGAGATTTGTGAACAGGGTCCAGAAGCAAATGAACGCCTTCTTGGAGGTAAGTGCTCCTCACGTCCTGGTTGAGGGAGTTTGGCGGGTCTCCTGCAGGTGTGCTGGAGCTGACCATGCGCTGAGTCACTGGGAGGGTGGGGACACCCCAAGGAAGGCCACCCTGCCCACCTCACACCTTGACCAGTCTCCAGGATGAGGGTCTTCAGTAGTGTGCCGCCATTTTTTTTTAAGTGTTCTCTTGCTTTGCTTCTCTGATTTTTCAATTTGCTTTAACTGCTTCAGGAAGACTTTTTACACCCTTGAGCTAGAGCCATCATCTAGAAGTGTCAGGCGGCACCCACAAGGAGTCTACCTACTACTGTGATGCCATAGTCTAAGTAGCTTGAGGACTTGGGCTGAACATGTGCAGGGCGGTTTCCCATCAAGCCATTCCTTTCCGGGACATTGTGTTCCCCTTCGTTGGCTGTGCCCTTCTTTATGCCCGTCTTAAAATTCCCCGGGGATGCCCTCCTGTTCAGGTACACGGATGGCACATTTTTGTCAGTGGGGTCTTACCTGGTACCTGTGCCCACTTCCACCCTGGGAAGGAAGGAAGCAGGCACCTCCCAGATACCAGTGCTCAATGCTGGGGTTGTCACCAGGCCCCTTCTGAAGATCCCCTAGCAGAGGCCAAGGGGTTCCTGTCTGTAAGAGATGTTTCATGTTGACCAAAAGTGAAATCCTTTTTTAAATCCGATGAGTGTTAGTTGTTTAAAAGACAGTAGAAGAGGGCTGAGGTTGTGGCTCAGGGGCAGAGCCCTTGCCTCACACATGTGGGTTCAATCCTCAGCACCACATGAAAATAAATAAACAAAATAAAGTATTGTATCCATGCAAAACTAAAAAATATTTTTTTATAGTAAAAAGACAATAGAAGAAAGCTCCAGCCGCACATAATTTCCAGGAACAGATTCGGCTCTCTTGGTGGCAGAGCTCTTCAGCCAACCCTAGCTCAGTACCTGCTCAGGAGTAAGGAAGTCCTCAAGGGGCAGGACACAAAAATTCAGGTCTCAAGGGACATAAAATGTGAGGACAGTCTTGACAGGGGCACATTTCAGACTTTATTTAAATAAGAAACCCCAGGACACAGATTCCCAGGCCCCACCACGTGGTCTACCCTCCGGGAGCCCAGCTTCCTCCCAGCACAGAGAGGCTGGTGTTGCCTCACGCCACTGCTCAGAGGTGGGGGTGTGCTTCATCTCTATGCCTTCACGTTATTTTTAAATGTGTGTCTTGTGTGTCCATGGCTTGTACTCTCTGGCTCACAATGGCTGTGTCATAAATGGCTTTTGCAATTCACCTGCCTGCCGTGTCCCATGTCATCATAGGGTTTTAAGTATCAACTACCAGAACCTTCTAGACTCCGTGACTTGGGGAAAAAAATTGTGTTGTGACTTTGCAGTTTGTATGGGAACTATGGTTGACTAGATACTGTCACTGACGTAAGAATCATCAATAAGGAATGAGTTTTACCTAAGCAACCAAAAAGAGATTATATTTTATGTAAAATGGGTCTTTTTCGAGGAAAAAAAGGTGTTTAGGGTGATTTTCTTTTTTTTTCCTTTCAGGGATTCACAGAATTGCTTCCCATCGATTTGATTAAAATTTTTGATGAAAATGAGCTGGAGGTTTGTATTACAAACATTTTATGTAAAATAATTTTTAAATATCATCTCTCATTACAAATGATATTTTACTATTCTCTAATCTGTCATGACCTACCGAGGAAGTTGAGATGAATTCTATTTTGCGCTTCATTATCTGTGGGACTAATGGATAGAAAAAGTCATCAACCATAGCGCCCATGCCCATGAGCGGGCAGCTGTGGAACGTCCCCACTGAGCTGGGTTGGGTTTGTGGCACCAGGAGAGAAAAACTGGTTTATAGCAGCACCCTGCTTTCAAGGCCAGGCTGGCCCGGCATCCCGCCTACCTCCCCATCTCCACCATGGTAATAAATGGGGAACTTGAGCATAGACTGGGCTGTGAGCATCTCCTGGAGATTGTAGAACAGAGATTTCCTTGAACTTGACATAATTTATGTGGACTAAGGAAAAACAGCAATGGTATTTTGATGAGTATCCCTCTTAGCTTCTTGCTGTTGGTGTAGGTGAAAGAGGGCAACTTGAAAACCTGAGGAATATCTTGCCCTTTGTTGTTGAGAGAAACAGAGAAGGAGGGAAGGCGGTTGTGTCTGATGCCAAGCGGGTGATGGCACTCGGCCATTGTCCAGGATGTATCAATGGACTGGCTTTCTGTACTTTTGCCTTAAAAGTGAAGACCTTAAGATTAATGGTGTCATAGAAACCATGCCCTGTGAGCCTGGAATTGTGCAGGTGGAGTCTCTGAGGCAGGGAGAAGTGAGTCACCTCACAGGTGGACCCAGCAAGGTGTGAGCCCAGTCAGGCCTAGGAACTCAGTTTTCAGGCTTTGGGTGTAGTTCTCTGTTTTATTCTAGTCCCTCTGCAGGAAGACTCATATTCATTAGTCTCTGATAAACCTTTCCTGGAGAGAGACATGATGGGCAAAGCAAACCTTAGACAGCCTGCCTCATTACACGTCTGTGCTCCATGGGCCTCTACATGGGTGAGGCCAATCGACCTCACCTGATCTACTCAATCCGAGGAAGATGAGTTCTTGCTGTCATCCATACTAATTTGGGGGTGGGTAAGGAAAGTTTCACGTATTCAGACGAATAACCTCTCAAGGAGACAGCCAGGTAATGTGCCTATGCTAACAGGGTGGTTAAACATCCTTGTGCTTGAGTTTGGGGGAGGAGGAAGGTGACTGATGTGGTGTCCTTAATTCCTGTGTGAAATGCCATGGCCTTGTGTGAGGGTTAGAATCAAATCGCCCTCATTATCTGTGCTGTCTCTGTGACCCAGCGTGGCAGGGAAAGTTTGGAACACGAATCTGCATTCATTGGTTTTCATGAGTCACTAACATACTCGCTTTCCACAGCGACAAAAGGGTAATTTCCTAGTGTATGATGTGTTCGGCTTTCATGTCCTGCCTTCCTTACATCGGGTCAATTTCCTTAACAGTTGCTCATGTGCGGCCTCGGTGACGTCGATGTGAACGACTGGAGACAGCATTCTATTTACAAGAATGGCTACTGCCCAAACCACCCCGTCATTCAGTGGTTCTGGAAGGTAAGTGCAGTGGGCCCAGGCCCTGCTCCACCGAGTTGGGGCAGAGGGCTCACCAGCGGGCTCTCTCATCTGGCCTGACTTTAGGACTGGTGCTGGATGCTAGGGTCTGCTTGGACTTGGACCATTAGGGAGGGAAGAGCCCTGTCTAGAATTTCTGTAATGCACAGCATGAGATTTGAATCCTCATGAAAGGCCACTGTCCTTCCTTGACCACCTGTTAAAGCAACTTTGAGGAATCCATTGAGTAAGGTGATTCTGAAAAGGAGTTCAGTGGTCTCCAGAGTACTGTGAAACTAGGCCTCAGAAGTGGAAATCCGAATGAGCTTTCTCAGGGTATAAACTCACTGTCAGGGCTGACTTGTCCAAGATGCCATTTTTCTGTGAAGAAACCGTTTTCTCAGTTTTGTTTTGTTTTTTTAAACTAGTTCCAATCTGGATCTTTACATCTCTCAACCAAAAATGCAAATGAAAATTGATTTACTATCTTAGGGCCAACGTTTGCAACCTGTTCGGCTCAAGAAGGAAGTGAAATAGAAATGGGTTTGTTCAGATAGATGGAAAACTAACTTTAAAAAAAAAAAAAAAAACCACCCCCCCCACCAAAAAAAGACTGATTAAATTTAAAGAGATTATAATTTCTAAAGTTTAAAAAAATTAGAAATTATTTGTCATTAGTATTATTTCTATCAGTAGTTATTTCTGTTATTAATTAGAAATTATTTTATTATTTTTCAAGTACCAGCAGAAGTATGGGGAGAAGATAAAACAATCTTCAAATCCTAGATTGTCACCTATGACTTCTTTTTTTTTTAGTTATACATGGATATGGTATCTTTGTTTTTATGTGGTGCTGAGGATCGAACCTAGTGCCTCACATGTGCAAGGCAAGCGCTCTGCCACTGAGCCACCACCCCAGCCCTCATATGTTTTTTTAATAGCAGTTCAAGCAACATCCAGATATGTAACTCACACAGATGGCTTTAGAGACCTATTTTGTCCTCTGTTTTTCCTTCTTTTCATAAAATGTTATCTTTGGGGAATTTGCAGTCTGTAATCCTATCTCCTCACCTGGGTTCCCCTTGGGTGGACCATTCTGGAACATTATATATTTATAATTGGCCTTGAGGGAGCTGGCAAGCCTCAAACTCAGAAACCTGAGCTGGATGCCATCAAAGAGTTTGCTTTTTATATCATTTATTTTGGCCTCTTGGCAGAAGAAGAAAGGCCTGGTGATCAGTCACTAAGATTAGAGAGGCTGGAATTGTGGCAGCCATTTAAAAAAAATAAAATAAAAATACTGACTCTGTTTTCGGGGTCAACTGTCTAGGTCTTCTTCCGTGGCAATATAAATAAGATTAAATTTGCCTGCCCGCATTCCAGCAGCATGTGCTGCATGTCACATGGGGACATGATGGCCTTCTGCCTCTGTTCATAGGCTGTGCTTCTGATGGATGCAGAGAAGCGGATCCGGTTACTGCAGTTTGTCACAGGGACATCCCGAGTACCCATGAATGGATTTGCCGAACTTTATGGTGAGCACCATGCACAGATCCAGTTCTCCTGTGGGGTTCTAGCCCCGTGCCTCCTGTGGGCCAGGGACACTCTGCCCCCCCCCCCCCAGGCCTCTGCCAAGGCTAGGAAGCCCTGTCAGGTCTGCATGCTCATATGGGTTTCATAGGGTCCTGTGTAGACACAGACAGGTGCTTCTACCTCAGGAAAGGGACAGTCTTCGAAGAGAACCATAGTTTTGTCTTTTCCTTTTTTCTTTTCTTTTTTGCTAGTTTAGTTTTTTTAGTATATCTTTAAAAACAAGGCTTCCCCTACCCGCCCCCCATGTGGTTCCAGAATCACCAGGTGATCCTCTCAAGGACACCTTGCCTCCAGGGGGCGAAATTCCTCAGTGCTCACTTGAAAGAAATCACTCTTCCTACTGCGTGTTGAAGCTCACATTCATTCATTTCCCCAAAAGCAGTTGTCAATCTACCTGCTGGGCCCAGTGCAGGGGCTACTGCTGTTGCCCCGGCAGGTGTTGCTATGCCGCTTGCACCTGGGGGAGTTCCATCTGGCAGGTGCAGCCGAGTCTGTGCCATGAGCTTGTGCCACTCCCAATGCTCCCAGCATTTAGTACTGTGCCCCTGCAAAAGGTGGTCTCACAGGAGTCACCCCAAGCCCTGCCCCAGCAGTGGCCACTGTCCTCCCGTCTTCCCTCTTCTCTGAGTGTCCCTGCGGCTCTGTCCTGCTGCCACAGGCCCTGCTGACATGTCTTGTTCTTTCCTGTCCAGGTTCCAATGGTCCTCAGCTGTTTACAATAGAGCAATGGGGCAGTCCTGAAAAGCTGCCCAGAGCTCACACATGGTAAGTGACCCAGTGCTGGAGTGTCAGCCCACAGTGTGTGGCACACTCGGCTGCGTGACGCCAGCCTAGAGGAAGAGTGCTGCACTTCCTACCAGAAAGAGCTCAGAGCGAAATGTCAGTGTCGTGATGAGAACATAAACTGCAGTAAACGCCACAGAACTGGAAGGCAGGGTCGGATTCCGCCCAGAGTGTTTGCAACACAAAGGACCAAGGCCTCCAGGTTCTTAGGACCCCCTTCAGACCCCACCTCCCTGATTATTCTAGGGATCAGAGATTTCACTTTTCACCATTTAGGGGTGTGGCAGCTGTGAGCCTGTCAACAGGGCTGGGTTTTGCTTCTACCTTAAATAGGTCATTCGGAACTTAGGTTAAAATTTCCTATAGAAGCCTTGATTTCAAAAGGCCTTCTGTGTATGTGAGTAGCCCATGACCCCCCAGAATTGACTGAGATCATGGCTGAAAGAGTGTTAAGAGGTCTGTAGGTGGCCCATGGCTCAGGGTGGCAAGGAGTGGCACCCCACACCCTTAGGAGGCCCTGTCAAGCTGCAGGTAGGAAGGAGGCCTCTGTTTCCTTGGAAGAGTTACACAGCACCCACACAGACTTGGCCCAGTGGGTTTGTGAAACCACATACGGAGACTCTTCCTAATCCGAGCTCATGTCCCTGTGTTGGTTTTTCTGCTTAGGCTTTTCACTCCTGCTCCTTAGAAAGCAGGGGTGTGGGCCTCTTGGAAGTAGTGAGCAGCATGGCCTGCCGCTATCGCAAGCAGCAGGGCTTCCAGTCTGCACTGACCACACTGGACTTACATGAACCACAGACGCTCCACAGACACATGTGTCTTCTCTTCCCTTCCTTATTGCCAGATAAATCTCACCAGCCTTGTAAAGCATGTCTCCTGGTTCAGGTAAAGTCTTCTTCCACGTACTTACAGGAAGCTGCTTCTTTAAAGGGAAGGGCCTGATAGGGGAGAGTCATAAAAGTGAAGCTGTAAAACATTGGCTGTGAAAGGTATTTTCCTTCTGTATGGAAAAGAATGGTTTTTCCGTTCATACCATTCATATGACTCTCTGAATGAAGTGAGTGTGGTCACTGCCTGTTGGGCCTTTTTGAAGCAAGCTGAGTCCAGCCTAAAAGTGGTGAATATCCAGAACAGTCATTGTTCTGGTTCTCAGCCTTTGTTCTAGGGAAACACGTTTTGATAGTCTAGAGTTTTTATTCCTAACAGTATCAGAGTCCAGGGTAGCATTCTGGATTCTGACAGCCTTGGTTTGGAAGGCAGCCCTACAGAGCCAATCCTCAGGAACTGCAGAACTCCCAGTCTCAAGCACCAGTAAGGGTGAAGATTATAAATTAGTAAATTCCTGGGCAGAAACATCCTCCATGGGTCAGGCAATTTTCCTCTTGATGACAACCTCATGATACACTGTGATCATTCCCCAAGGTGTTAGGACACTTGCTCAGGAATACACAGTCCATAGATTCCCAAATCACAGGATTTGAACTCGGGTCTGCTACAAATAGCCAGCTCCCTTCACTACACCATGTCCACTGCTGTGGTTACAGCCCTTGTCCTGTTCAGTCCCTGCCCCTCTGTGACCCTGTGGTCAGGTACCTGACTGTTGAACTTCTTTTCAATTTCGGAGCCACGATTCAACCCGCTGACCTTAGCTGTGCAGTGGAACCACAAAGAAGGTGTTAAAAACACCGATGCCAAGCTTATGCTTGCAGAGAATAGGACCTGGTTGGTGTGGCATGTGGCCTAGGCAATGGGACTTTAAGGAAAAAATATTTTCAAAGATTCATTTTTAAAGGTAGACTTAGGAAGGGCAAAGGTTACCTAGGAGGAAGAGAGCCCAAATGCCTCTTCCCAAAGCTGATTTTTCTGGTCTCTGTGTCATGAAAGTAAAGCCAGCAAACAGCTCTTCCTGCTGGCCCTCACCAGGCCAGCGAGGACGAGGGGCTGGCTCCAGGTAGGACTGTGGTACTCTGTCTGAATGGCTTTCCTCCGGCCAGGCCCCAGTGATGGGAACAGGAACTCTATGGCCACTTCTTAGCAGTGGTTCCGCTGTGACATTTGCCATGGAGATATTTCATTTATTCCATGTTCCATGAGAACATAAAATGCACAGACTGCAAACTGAAAAATCTGATTTAGCAGAGTGAGCAGAGCTGACAGAGCTGGCCCTCTGAAGGGTCCTCGGATGCCCCTTTCAGGTGTCTGACATTCGTGGGGCTTCAGTTCATTGTTCTGTGTGAGTCGCTCCTCAGAGGTTTAAAATGACTCTTTAATAGGAATCACAGACGCCCCTGCTCTATCCATGATCTCATTGGTTCACACACCCTTGCCTGCTACAGCCTGCTGAGGACAGGGACTGACTCCTGTCACCCAACACCCTCGTGGCAGACCAAGCCAAGTCTTCAACAGTAACTGGCACCTAGCACCTCCCAGGCATTGTCCCAGACACCAGATCTGACTGACCCTCATAATTGTCACAGTTCAAAGACTTGGGTCATGGTGACCCATTCTTACAGAGAAGAAAACTGAGGCTTAGACCTCAGCTCTTAATCCTCCCCTCTCCATATACCAGTATTTCTTAAACTCGAATCCCATATAGGCCTCTTTTAAAAGGAAAAAATCTTCACGGATCCTTGAGAGTGGGTCTTCAGACCCTATGGGAATGGCAGACCCTGGACCATGAGCCTCCGATGTGAAAGAGCCACGTTCTGTGGAAAGCACTTTCTGGTGCCTTTCTGAGAAGTGCCATTTGGGAAGTACAGAGTTGCACTCTCAGTGTTTACCGGCTGCTATGAAATCTGAGTGGGGCTCGTTAAACATTTTAGGGTTAGTGGGGCCCAGCATGGAGGCGCGTTTGTTTCTGCTGATGATGATCAGTGGTTAGCTTTTAAAACATGCAAAGCGGCTCTGTTTATACTTGGAGTCAGGTCAGCATGGGGTGGGGGCAGCTTTAAGCACAGATGGTGTAGACCCTCACAGTAGAGGCAGCCATGCGTGGGTCAAGGGCTGCGCTTCAGAGCCAGCCTGTGGCAGGTGACCTCACCTCCCTGTGCCTCAAGTTCCTCCTCTGTAAAGCAGGGGACAAGCATCACCTTCCTTAACAGGGAGGTGGGGGGTGCCAGGGCTCAGTGCACAGCACTGAAACAGGCCGACTCCACGAATGTTAGCCCTCCTCGAAAGATCATGAGCCGCTGCCAGGGTGTGTGGCCACGTTCAGGACAGATTCACACCGGCAGTCCCGACAGACACTGATTCTGCAGACATTCAGTAAATATTGAATAACAACACAGATCACCATCATCTACTGAGTGAACCATGCCACTGGTCACACTTGCTACCCTCCAGGCCCACCTGACATGTGTTCAGATCTGACCCTCCCAACACTCAATGAGCCATTTCCCCTTTTCACAGATGAGCAGACAGATCCAAAGAAGTAAGGTGATTTGCCAGAGGTCACATGGCTAGCAAGTGGTCGAGCCAGAATTTGAACTCAGTTCTGTAAACAAGTAGACAGTATGCCTGCAGGGGCCATCCACATGTCTGAAGACTTCATTCTCACCAGGGTGGTTTGCAGCACCCCCAACTGAAGCCACTTGATGTGTAGGGGCTGTCCTAAAGAGTACAGCTCTTTTCTCCAAACCTCACTGGCTTGTCTGCCTTTGGTTAGCAGAGGTAGCCTGTCATTGGCGTTCTGGAGCCCAAGTAGCCTGGCCTCTGCTTTGGGGTTCACAGCTTTCCTAGGAGTAGGACCCACAGCACCTTGGCTGTGCCTCACTGCTTCAGGACACATCTGCAGATTGGAGGTCACTCTGCCCACCTTGAAGGCTTGTGATGAAAGTCAAGGAGTCCGTACATAGACCTGCACTTGGCTCAGGCCTAGTGGAGAATAAGTGATAGCATTGGAAATGGGCACAGCCTAGCTGCATCTGCAGCTCTGGAGCATGCATTAATGCTCCTTCTAGCAGAGGTTTCTTGGACTATTAGAAAAGTGTTTTTCTCCTTGGTAATTATATAGCTAGTTTGGTTTGGGCAGTTTCATAGCTAGAATTTATTTATTTTGTACTCAGAATTGGGGCTAAAACCTTTTCATTCCCTTGTGAAAACACCAATTGCCCCATTAGCCAAATCTAGGAAGTGCTGTTGGAACTACAGGGTGATAATGGTGGCCTTCTACCTACACTGTTTGTTCATTTTGCAGCTTTAATCGCCTTGACTTACCTCCATATGAAACCTTTGAAGATTTACGAGAGAAGCTTCTCATGGCCGTGGAAAACGCACAGGGATTTGAAGGGGTGGATTAAGGCCTTCTGACTCGGGGCTGTCCATCAAGCAAGTTCCCCTTGCACTTTTGCATTTGCCTAACAGACTTTTGCAGAGCAGGGGGCAGAGACCACTGCACGTGCTGTCTGAGCCCGGCCTCCACCCGGGCCCTGCCCGAGTTCAGATGCGGGAACCCAGTCCCAGCTCGAGTTCCCACCTCTTCCACCACAAATCCTCAACTGGTTGATGTGTACACTAATTACATTTCAGGAGGACTTGTTCTATTTATGTTGTGCCTCTGCAGGCAAAGCCCTTAATAAATATTTTGCATACTTTCTAATGACAATGAATGGAATTAATCACTCCACAGGTATAGTATTACGACTCATGTTTACTTTTTAAAATGATTTAGACCGATTTTCAGATTTTATTTCATTACAATTAAAGATGTCTCATGTACTTGGAAAGTGAGCATATTTTTTTTGTATTTGAATTTCATACCAAGCTTAATGTTAATGACATTTTTATTTTTGAAGTACTTTGACACCCCCCACCCTCTACTTTATTAGAATTGGAAGGCTCACTTTTGTCCAAAAGCCTTCCACGGACAAGTACTTTTGAAAGAATTTCAAATATAGCATTAGGCATAATGATAATTTTTCCATACTCAGAATGAAAATAAACTGGATATTACTTTGTTTTGTACAAATTTAGGTAATAGCTACAGGCTGAGAGAATTGTAACATAGCATGACATTTGTGTTAACTTGAAAGGAATCACACCATTATTCCTTAGAAGTAATTGTGTGTGCTATAACACATCTGAGGCAGGGTTGGACTATCATTTCTCATTGGAGAAATTACTTAACCCTTCCTTGCTGTACAGTCATCATTTTATTATATTTTCCCCTTTGCTGTCTGTCATAGAGACATTTTGAATGAAACTTGGCATTGCTTGATTTGAAACTGCGGAAGCCAGATCCGTTCTGTCTCCTCCGGGTGTGCATTTGCCAACGGCGGCAAAGTAACCGGTTCCTGCTCTAACTGCGCCACTTCTGAAGGCACTTTATGTACTACGCGGAGGTCATATCTGGTTCCATTTTTGTTTTTTAACATACACATTAAGTGTGACGATGATCTCTTCTCCCTGCACACGTATCTTTCCTGTGCGATGTCTATCAGTTGTGAATCTGGCTGCTGGTGTATAGAAACCCGGATGAAAAGCTGAGCCTACCGACCTGTCCTCTCCAATTGTTTTGTGACTTCTACTCTACTACAAGGATTTATTTAATATACACTTAATGGAACCGAGTTCTGTTCCCTACGACCTGGTGCATGCTTCAGTACCGTGTCCCGCCCAAGTCGTGTCTGTGGTACACTAGATTAACAGAGACTCGGTTTGCTCCACTGAGGTCAAGCTGCTAAACTGGGGGTGGCGGAGGATTGAGGGTGTGTGCACAGTTTGCTTCTTTTCCACTTTTAAGTCTCGTTGCAGAATTCTGTCATGTTTAGAGACTATGTCTGAGACAGCGTGGGAGTGCAGTCGTCCTACCATCCCTTTTAACTTGTTGTGTTTGTTGGGGAGCACTGGAGGTTTGATCTCTTGGCAGGCATATTTAAGACAAAATGTGATTTTGAAGTCTCTGTAATAGAAGAAAGAGCTCTGGTGTAAGAATTTGCTCATATGCAAATTATGCAGCTCCGAATGGCACGTGAGATGCCCTGGGCGGCTGTGGCTGTGAAGAAGCACCGAGGCCTCAAGTTATAGAAGGTGGATTGCTGTGGAGCTCAGTGCTGGCTCCTGTTCAGAGTGGCTTAAAATACCTAGGAGTGACCAGAAAACTTACATGCTAAGTAATTATAAAAAATGATGTTGCTCATTTTTTTTTTTTTGCCTTTTGGTGGGAAATTTTCCCATAAAACCAACATGACAAATGTCTCAGTGGTAAAGGTCCCTTTTTTGTTGCCCTCCTAGTCCAAAGTTATAGTAATCTTAAAAAAAAAAAAAAAAAAAAAACGTGCCATTTGAGTTGAGCAGGGTCCTTGGATGAATTTTGAGAATGATCATGTCATTATAGGAGGAGAAATCTGATTCTACTGTGAAAACTGGGATTCTTCAGTCATTTCATAAACTGTGCATTTCGTGAATATTTTGATTTTTTTAAAAACAAACTAGCCCAGGTATTGAAAATAGGAAAATAGAAACTATTCTCATCATTTTTAAGCCAGGAACAGAAGAATTACTGAAATGTGCCCCTGAGAATATTTGAATGATGGTCATTGTGAATGGCACTTTAGTTTATCTACCCCCTTGATACTCCTCCAATTTTTAACAATTAAACATTGCTGGATTTGGGGGTTGGTTTTTGTTGGTTAAATGAAAATACAGTCACTAGTCCTCAGCTATTCGTGAAGTTTCTCTCTGCCTAAAGGCCCCGAGTCTCTCCTAGATCTTGTTGTCTGCTGTTGCCTACTCCAGGCAGCAGTGGAGAATGCACTGCAGGAGGAGCAGGTTTCTGGGTCATTCTCTGACCTCCCTGCTCCAACAGCTGTCCTGGGGGAGGAGGTTGGTGCTGCCTGTCCTCCTCATCCCACCAGCCACACTGCTCTGCACTTCACCGTCTCTGTTGCCCATTTGCTCCCAGGCCACAGTGACCATCATGACCCCTTTCCTCTGGCTCCCTGCAGAAGGTGGTTGACRGGGCTGAGAAGTGAGTGCTAGAGCTCGGGAAGGCCCTGAGGGTCACTTGGCTGCCTGTGGATCCTGGGTGTTACTGTTCCTGCCCCTGGTTGGCCTTTGGATGAATTTGGGAAGTCCACAAACAGCGTTAGCTTCGGAGAGTGTTGCTTCTCCGCTCACTGCCCCTGGAACAGGTGACGGGAGACATTTGTCTCAATGTGTCTGACCTCGGTGCACTTTCCTTGTTTTTCTGAAACATGGACTGTCCTTTTCTGCAGTCCTCTAACAGATCATCAGGAAGGGACAAACTTATTTTTTTTTTGTTTCCAAAGCCCTTTAGAACAGTCCCTAAATTCAGATGGTGGATGAGAGAAAGCAACTTGACATGAATTATTCTTGCCATGTGAGGACCCAGTGGCACAGTCTAAAAAATGGTGTGCAAAATATTTGAACCACTTTCTACATCTCTCAATGTGGTGTAGGTACCCCTGTTCTTTGACCTTGCAGGATCCCAGTTGACTATCAGAAGCCAGGGTCACGTGCAGCAACTTTCTAATTGTTCTAACAGTGAGGAGTTGTTTATCATTGACTCTTGTATATTCCTGATTGTTGTGTATCTCATCTCGGAAATGTTGAAGTCTGCAAAGAGAGCTTGGGTTCATCAGCTCTCCAGTCCCTTCCCATTGTGCTAACTGCCCACTTCCTGTCCTCTCCCTTCCTCACCCAGACTAAGCACCCCTGTGCTCCCCTGTGGGGAGGGGAGATGCTGCCTGGAGTCACTTTCTGATGTGCCAGTAGGGGTGCTGCTGTGCAGGGTGACTGCCTGCCCTGCCCCCCACTGACCCCCCAGATCTTGTACTACCTCTGTCTTCTTCAGGCATTGGGATACCTAAGTCACGTCAAAACTGCCAATTTCAGGACTGAGATGTGTTCAAAAACAAAAACTTAAAGAATCCACTTAGTACTTTAGCTTTTAAAACTGGGAAGAAAATGTGATATACTTTGGACCACTTTTTTTTTTAATTTATATAAGCCTTAATGAATGGTGTATATACACTTGAGTACGCACACTCCACCCCAGAGTGTTTTCAGTGTGTGAGAAAATGCTGTAGCTTTAGTATGTGAGCCTGTGTAATGATTCCTAAGAAAAGGGGTAGCTTTCTGTTGGTACAGAATTTTCCAGGAAAACCACTCCTTTTGACATCTCTCCTGTATTAAAGATGTTGCCCTCAAAGCAATGCATGTTTGAAGCGCATGTCTCTTTGCTGGTTTTATGTTTGTAAGGAGTAATGACATCACTTCGTGTACTGCATTCTCGACCTGGCACCAGTGCATCGAAAGCCTTTCTCAGGACCATAACCTGCATCAACAGAAGCCTGTGTTCCCGTATAAGCCAGTCTGCCCCTCGTACCCGGACTGATTTCACCTAGATTGTCATGGTTCCCTTCATGTTAATTTTGTGTGACTGTTGTTCTTACTACTCTGTATGTAACATAACTGTATACCTACATATGCTGTCCAAATATATGTGTATATATTTGTATAGCATTTTTACACCTCTACGAGTAATCCGGTTTCAAAAAAGGGAGAGCTCAGTCCCTTCTGCAGTTTTCTCCAAGCTGTGTGCTGAGAATTCTGATGCTCAGAGCCGAGAGAACCCTAGGAAGATGTTAATTCGCTGTCATTTATTAATTCATGATCTGTTATCAAATGAAACCTGAAAAAAAAAACTGACTTTTAAGGTGAAAAGTGTTTCAAGCATTCCAAATGAATTCTCAATGTTTCATAACTTTTTATTATAAACCCACCTCCTAAAATGAAGCCAAGTACTATTTGGTCAAACAAAACCAACTACCTTGATTTTTTTTTTTAAGACAACTTATGGATAATGCTCATTTTCACAATCGGAATAGCTTTAAAATAAGGTTGAATTTGATACAGGAAAAGTTTTGTTCAAGAACAAGTCCTTTTTGCTTTTCTTTCTTGAGAGCTAAAGAGAAACCGTCGCTTGTTTTCCTGACAGCAAAAAGAGTAATGTGGCAAAATGAAGTCATTGTAAAAAGTGATGCGACTTGTCGAATATTTAATAAAGAATTATGGAAGCTGGAGCATTTTCTACAGCAAATATTATGGGTTGTCTGGTTTCAAGTTTCTTAGTGACTGCGTCATCCTGATTGTGTCAGGGGTTTAAATGCCTGCAGGCTTGTGGTATGTTCACTTCCTTAATCTCCACTGAAAGTTCCACGCCTTTAGAAATAGTCTGCCCAGAACACTGCTTCAGCATAATATGAGGATGCCCAATTGTTCTCATCCGTCTGCCATTTCATCTTTTTAAACTGGCACATTACTAATTTTATATAACAGCATATAACCCATATATGAATCCATTCCTGGAAAGCCAGGTTTCCCCTCTAGTTATCCAAGTGACCCTCTGCTCATAAAAAGGTTGCAGGACCCAATGACGAAGCTACGGTTGTGCTCAGGAAGTTGCGATAGCCATACCTGTGTCAGTTCCCTTTTAAAACTCTCTGGCATGTTTCCATACACCATGTCATTCTGCTCAAATCATCTCTTTGTCTTGGGGGAAGTTTTCCTCTTTGTTAGTACTGAGCCTCATCTGTGTCCTTCGGCCATTCCCTCGGGGACTGCCTGCTGTGACTCTGGGCAGGATGTGATGGAGTGAGCCCTTGATTTCTTGTCTTTTTCCTTTAGCAGAGGAGCTTGCTGGAAAGCCGTCAACAGCACCCAGAGCGCCTGCCTCCCCACCTGGGCTTACACAGACACACCTGTGAGGTGTGTGGGGCCAGAACCACTCTGAACTCTTCTGTGTTAAAGCAAAATGTCAAGAGTACAATGAGGCCCTGGGTCCAATTCTCAGTACCCCCTCTAAATAAAGGTCTATCAACAACTAAAAAAAATTTTAAAGTACAATGAATAAATTACCTCAATGACACAGTGGCTGGCTGGCAGCTCTTAACCTTCTCTGATATAGGAACTTCCAAAATGTTAAAGCCCCTGGTGAGTGTCAGCAGTGAGCAAGAGTGTCCCCAAATTCTACAACTAGCTCTCCAGGCTTTTGGTTCAAAAGAGCCAGGTTTGAAGAGTCCCTGGGGTAAGAATAGAAAAGCTACTTTGTGGTTGGTTTGCTGCTGCCGCCTCTGAGAGACCATTATAGTGGGTTTCCAGAACACTGGAGCTGGGGAGTCATTAAAGGGCTTGAATTGGGCAGAGGGGACAGTTGAGCCTGGTTTTACTGAAGACTGAGCATAGACTCCATAACTGGGTCCTCAGCAGGCTGAGGAGAGTGAGAATAGAGAGATTCCCTGTTGGGGACTTTGTAAGGCTGACCTGTAGCCCAACTGGGGAAGGTCAGTTTGCCCCAAGCAGACCATCACTTCCTGCCCAATGCCTTTCAGGGCCCCTTCCCCGGCCAGTATCCCCATGCTGCTAGTACACCTCCTTCCCCTCCAAGTCCCAAGTTGGCCCTGACTACATTCCCGGTGGGCTGCAAGTCACAGGTAAGGGAGGGTGAAGGGGTGACAGGGTAGTGGAGGGATTCTCCCTGCCTCCAGCAAGATGGCACTTACTCCCTGTGGTCCACTGGGAATAACCTAGACTTGCCAATTTCAGTTGTGCTGGCCTGTCCCTTGTAGCTCTCTGCTGGCTGCAAGCTCCCTGCTGGAATTGTGGAATGGAGAAGCAGTGTTGGGGGTGGCAGTAGGTGCCCATGTATGCACCCCAGATTTTCTGTTCACTCACCAAACCCTAATGTGGGGGGATATTTTTTTTTTCCTCCTGGAGGGGAAGTCTTAATTTGCAAGTTAAGTTTGGAAGGTGCGCTCAGTACCAGAGTCAGCACACCTCCAAAAGGACCAGACTGGACCTAAATACCATGAAGAGCCATAGGCAAGAGAGGCAGATCTGTGGCTGGAGCCGCTGGGCCTCAGATGACCTGGCCGAGGGACCCCTGGCAGTGCCCCAGCCAGGCTCCTCTGCCAAATTGATGAGAAGGCAAGTTTGGGCAATTTCTAAGCAATACCCTTCCTTGGCAGTTTTAGGTAGAGTTGCCAGAGCCAGGAGGTTAACTTTCCAACCCTGCTTGGCTTGGTCAGAGCAAATGCCAAAACAAGCCAAAGGTTGAAGATTCTCTGCTGCAGTGTCCCGAGCTCATGGAATGGGCACCCCAGAGGGCCTCGGCTTTGCCTTTCCAACACCCTCATTTTCCATCTGAGCCTCAGGGCTCTTGCCCCTAAACACTCCATGTGACCAGGACTGTCCTAGAGGACCAGGGCCAGGTTTTCAGTCTGAGTCCAAAAACTAGTATTTGCTCTCATTTGTGTCCTGAGGACTGTGGGCAGTCTGCCCTCCCCCATGCACATCCAGACACCGTGAAGGCACTTCTCCAAACCCAAGTACAGGAAGGAGAGAGTCCCCCTGACAGTTGGCACTGTCAGAAGAAGGGAGGTCGAGGAGCCCGCAGGAGGTGCCAAAGCAACCTGGGCTTTACCAACCCCGGCAGCCTCCCTCAGCCTCCTGAAGGAGAAGAGGGCACAATGCTTGGCACCAGGACAATTTGAAGAACCTCAACCAGCCTCCGGAAACACATCATCCCAGTCAGGGACGGATCTCAGCAAACATCTGCAGGACATTGATTGTCTCATCAGAGGCTCAGCCCCCTACAGCCCCACCTCGCTCCCTCTAGCCTTCTCTTTCCTCTTACAGAAGGCCCTGAGCCAGCACACAGAGCTACTGGGGAAGGCGGGGTAAGGGGGTCCTCTAGTCCAGGCCCTGCTGTGCTGCTCTTCAGTCACCCAGACAGCTACTTATAGGATGTGGGGCTGCAGGCACTGCCCCTGAGGCTGAGACCAGCCTGCCCTGAGATGGCAGCCCTATGCCAGCCTCCTCATGCATGGGCCCTGTTCCCATGCAGGCAGAGGACAAAAAACGAATCGTTATCTCTTTGAGTGAACCATTGACTCTGTAGGCTTAAAGTCACCTTTGGGAAATAAATATTCAGGGCATTTATTGATCAAGCTCCTTTTAAGGTGCTTTCCTGCACAGGGTCCTCCTGGCACAGATCCCTGCCTTCTTCAATGTCCTCTCTGTCTCCTGCATGGGTTCGCAAGTCCTGTTGGGATCTCCTGCTGCCTCACCTGCCCTGTCTGGTCTAGGATGCTCACTCCAGCCACACCCTGGAAAGGCCCCACAGCGCTCCCACCAAGCTCCTCAGCCACTTCTGTGTCTCCTGAGACCCTGTTGCTCTGCACCTCTTACCTGCTCCTTTGAGAGTTCCCACCAGGATGTGGGACACAGTCTTTGCTGCTTGCAGCTGCTCCCACCCCACCCAGAGGCTATTCGCTGACATTTTTCTGCTTGCTGTGGCCCAGGGTGCTGACTCTTGGGGTCTCAGACCCTTCCCCACACCAGTCCTTTCCCTTTGCTGAGAGTTCCCTGGGAACCTGAGGCCTTTACAGAAAGTCTGTAATGGAATCACCTAAATTTGTTTTTGATGTGGAAAGAGAATATTTTAGAGGAAACAGAAACTGCTTGTCCCTTAGCCAAAACTGGTATACAAGGCCATTTTCCCCCTCGGCATTAAAGAGAGTCAGCCTTCAGCCTGAAACACAACAGCGACTCCCCACCCCCAATGTTTTATTAAAAATTTTGCAAACAGAAAAATTTGAAAGAATTGCACAGTGAGCGCTCCTGTGCCACCCCCCAGACTCCGCCCTTCCCTTCCCCTGTGCTGGCCTTTCCTCAAAGCTATCATGAGTCCACCATTAAACCCCTCCTAATTATTGAAGCATTGCAGAGTAAATCACAGACATCATTACTTTCCCCAACACTCCAGCGAGCAAATCATTAACTACACTTTTCACTTGCACTTTAATTCACAAAGAAATTCAAAATCTGAAGTGTACATTCATACCTGTGTACCCTAAACTGCCATCACCACAGAAGTTGTTTCATGCCTCTTCCAAGTCAACCCCACCCCAGCCGCTCAGAGCTGTTCTGAAATTTCCCTCTATATATTAATTTGCCTGTTCTAGAATTTCATACCGAGCTACACAACTTATTACAAGGAATTTTTTAATTATAGTTGGCACCTCTGCTACCTGGAAACAATAATCCCTTGTTAAGTCAATTGACAGGAAGCCCCGGGGCATGAGGAATGAGAAAAGTCAGTTTAATATTCAAACAGTATCCCGCTTCATAAGCCACACAACAGTCTCTATTTTTCGAATACACTCAGTCATCTTTTAGGATGTTCGAGCCTCAAATCGTTTACATACAATGGTCATCTTGGACTTCCGGGTGGAAATCCAGGCTCAATTTACAAGGAAGAAGGCCAGTGTTCACGAGGGCAGGCTAACACTGTAACAAGCAGTGCCCAATCATGGTGTCTTAGTCAAGGTCCCATGTAGGCCAGAGCAGATGCCCTGTGCCATGCAGTCATCTAGGGACTCAGCACCCTCCTTTGATGGCCCCACAATTCCCTGGGACAAGATCCTCTGTAACCCACAGAGGAGGGAAGAGAGCCTGGGGAAGATTGTGTTGGAGGACAAGCCCCTGCCCACCTTCCCCTGGCCACACCTAACTGCAGAGGAAGCAGGGAAATACCTAGTGGCTCCCAGAGGAAAGGGGAAGGAGATTGGGACCAACAAGCCAAATTCTGCCATTATGAATTCAGCCTTCAGTCTCTCTTTGTAGAATTCCCCCATTGGGATAGTGGCCTTGCTGACATTTGGTAAACTTCAGGGCTTCTGAGTGTACTGTCTTATGATGCCACAACCACTTTTCATCAGTCTACACATTAGCCTAATGAGGTAGACATTATTAGCACCAATACAGTTCTGGAGGTTATGGGGCTCATGGGTTGGTGCTCTGAACCCAGAGCGTCTGGCTCAAAAGCTCCATTTAACCACTGTCTCCACTCCCCAGCCACCGTCCCTTCCATCAAACCTCCTATCCAAGGAAAGAGCCCAAAAAACTCATTTATTCTAAGATGTAAATGACTGATAAGCTGAACACATGACCCCAGAAATATTTTCATTTTAACAAATGCAAAATGAATTGCCTTATCAAAAAGAATAAAGATCAAATATTATGGCATTTAGGCTTCAGCACAT